AACAACACATAGAACGTCCATCGCCTGCCGGTCAAATTAGTTCGACTGTTTGATACTTTTCAAGAAGGACACATACCAATTGGTGAAATCGTTGATGAAGCCACCGACCCTATTGTTCCGCCGTTAGAAGATGAAACAAGCAGGCAAGTTGACAGACTCACAGAGGGCCTACTTCTGGTCCAATAAATGGACTGGCAGTATAAAGCATCATGGGAAATGCAAGCTCCTGTCGATTGAACATGTCGCCCACTGTGCCACCGGCAACACTGAGAAAAGCGCTTCCTGCTAGACCATTAAAAAAACGGCAGACCAGCATAGTTTGAATGTTCTTTGCCACGGCACACGGGATAAGCCATATCAGAAACAGCGAGAATGAGGTAATGTAGATATTCCTTCGGCCATAGAACTAGACACCATTAGCTTTCCTGCATACTGATGGAACAGATTGGGCTTACTTCGGAAAGTGGACTGAGAAAAAGCGGACCGATTCCTGGAATACAACAATCAGCAATGACCCCACGATGCTTTGGTATAGTAGAACCAACCGAGGCCCCAGATAAAGAATGACAATCCCAGCGTTGCCACTTCTTGGGAGCAGTTGAATTCTTTCATCAACTGATCATATGTCGTTGTGTACATGGAGGATGTGCACGTCCTGAACGGGTCAGTCTCGACTACAAACCTTTCAACAATCCAAAGTATACTCACACGCAGAGTGAGCCAGTCGAAACAATGATGACAATCATCCAGCGTCTAGCTTTGCTCATGTTCCTCGGGTTCATGGGATCATTCTCCTCCCAGCATACAGTATACCCATGATCACCATCTGCATCTTGTCCCGCTTCATTGCCCCCGCCTTCGAATTCGTCGCCACCAATGCTCACACCATCATTCAATGACCAGCTTCGCTCTAGGGAACGGGATCGGGAGTGGGAGCGCCTCGATAGCCGCTTTTCTGCCGCCACATCATGTTGCTCTTCGTTGGTTTTTAGGTGGGCGATCGGAGCGAAACCTGTATCTTGAGTTTCGGACCTGATGCGATCAAGCTCGTCGCCGCTTTTCTCATATGCAGAAGCGCGTTCACCGTCCATGGTTCTCTCATTTGCTGCTTCGGCGATATGACCGGATGGCAAATGAGATCTCCGCACGGGAATTGGAGCGAACAAAAGAGCGGGCAAACGGCAGCCACGAGTGGAGTGTCAGGACTGGATTGGAAGGCAGCTCAACACAAAGAGGATTCGCCTTCTGTTTAAAGTGAAATGACGTCTCTTTCATCGGTGTAGAGCTAGGCCGAGCTGATTAATCCAGGACCGCGCGGGCCGCAGATTGCATCAGTCGTTCTAGTCCACTTTTTGGTTTTTTGGTTAGTGTGGGTCATATCATAACCAAACCCAATTTTGGTTTGGGGTAACTCGGATCAAACAAGGTTGCATTAGGGACAAGGTTATTGTCCTACGCATATCTTATCATGTTCGTTTCTGTAAATAGCGAACTACAGGGGGAAAAAGCAATGAAACTACATCTTCTTAATTATCCGGCCCATCTCCGATTCGCTGAAAGATAACGGTTCGCGCGCATCAAACACGAACGACGATCTTTAAAATTTTTCCATATGCCGTACTAGGACTATTCTATTTATTTTCTGCTGAAGATGCTTCGTCAGACGTTCTTTTTGCGCCTTTGGTGCGCCTATACTCACTAAAAATAAAAAGAGATTGTTAGGGCACTGGAAATACTATCAACCCGAGGTGCCAGCTATGTAGCCCTTATCGTAGGACTCCCGCTGCTTGGCAGCCGCCAATCCCGAAACCAAGGCAGAGAGACTTATGGTAGACATTGGGTAGAGGATTGAATTTCAGATCATCAATGGAGTCAACTGGCGTACGTGCTTTCCTTCGACGTAGCCCGCATATTCGACGTACTTCCGACATGTTAATATCTATACAGTAAGCTAGATACCTCTTGACTCGCGGTTTCTCTAGAAGACATTCAGGCAGTGTTCTACTGGACCTCGGTTCCCGAAAGATGTCAAGTTGCACAGGGTATGTTCAATTAACTATGTTTCTAACACTACGGTCAACCCGTTCAGCAAAACGCCACAGCAGAAACGGAATCCAACATAAAGACATCATCAAATAAAAATCGCCATAGCACCGTTCTCCAACCCAATCCCAAACTCCAGACAAGCATCCAAAAAGGATACAATCTTCACATAAATATCGGATCTTCCAGCAACCCATAGACCGTAAATCAGCTGTACATGAATGTAAAAAGAATTGCGCCAGGGTATCCCAAACTTTTCTTCGGTTTCAGTATGGAAATTTTACCCTCTACAGAACCTGGCTCAGCTGGCTGGCAGCACCAGCAGCGTTCTCCTCGGCCCATGAGCCCCACAGTGCCTGCTTGCCACCGATCTTGAGGGGAGCGCCAATCGACTTGGAGGACTGGTCAACTTTGACAGCATCCTTAGTGGCCAATACCAAGACTTCAAAGAACATCTTCGTCGCGTCAGCCTTGCTGGAACGTTGTTCGGGAAGCAGATCCTGGAACAAGACACTCTTCTTCTGGGAAGATACGGGGTCACCCAACTGCTCGCGCAGAATGTGAACAGCATGCTTTGTGCCAATAGATACAGGCTCGTTGTCCACGGGGCAAATGGTGTCGTCCATTTCATCCAGAGGCGCATCCATGCCATCCTCGTCGCTGAGGTGCAGATCCTGGGCATCGTCTCCAGGGAAGTCAATTTCAGACCGCTGGTTGAGAGTGGTGTCGAGACCAATGCCCTCGTCAAGGGCAACAATAGCTTCATCGTCACCGAGTTCCAGCTCAGGAACATCGGCAGCCGCCACATCCATATCAGAGATACCACTGTCACGCTTTCGCTTCAGCTCGCCAGCCTTCTTCACCGAGTCTAGAGACAACAGCCCACGCAGCTCAGGAGCCCATCCACGGCCACGATCCTCACCAAAGATGCTGGAGACAAAGTCACCATTCTGTTGGCGAGTCATAAGAGTGAGAAGAACAGGGTCACGAGGCAGGAAAGAAGCGGGCTTGAGGATGGCCGAGCGATCAGCTTGCTGCTCCTTAACCTGGCTATTAGAGAAATGCGGGTTGATGTCTGCGGGAATAAGATCCTGGACCTTCTGGCGCTTGGCACGCTGAGCGTGCTGAGCTGCAGTAGCTTTGGGTGTGACAGAGATGTCGCGGTTGTATTCTTCTTCAAGCTGATGCATTTGAACAGAGCCTGCGTCGGACAAAGGGCTTTCGGTATCACGGTGGAATCGGTCACCATTGGCGCGGGGGGTCTGACCACCAAAATCATCCTCACCTCCAAAGTCCATTGGGGCATCCATGAGATCATTCATGTTGTCGTCATTATCAATATCCATGTTGTCTAACGGAGCACCATCATCGCCAATGTCGAGGGCCAGGTCATCGTTGTCAATAAGCTTTCCAGAGTCACTGTGAAGGTCCTCTTCCATAGGACGAGGTGCAGGGGCGTCTCGACCGATTTCCATTGTCGTGTCGTTCCCGAAAGGTTCACCAATATCCAGGTCAACCAAAGAGGGATCTTCGAGACGGAGAGGCTCCTGAGACATAGATCGGCGGAAACTGCTATCTCCTAATAGCTGACTACCAAAGTCCAATGAGCCAGGCTGTTTGCCTGCGGGCTCCAAGTCTAGATTCTGGGGAAACAGAAGAGATGTATCCAGGTTGGTGAACAGATCAGATTCGGTCAACACATCGGGCAGGGTGATGCCACCCGGCGCCACCACTGTTGTTGTCAAATCATTGTTGTTTGTGAGTCGGAAAGCCTGTTCCGCTTCCAGTTAGCAGTCGCGACATGTTTGCCCCGAGGGATTGAAGACATACCATTTTGATTTTCATCAAGGCTTCATTGCAATCATCCAAAAGATAGCGAGCTTTACGGCTGTAGATACGCACAACACCAAGCAGAAGCTGACCGCTCAGTCGCAAAGCCATGGGCGCTTGGCCCTGATCAACAATGGCATTGACACTACTTTCAATGTCGGACTGAAGAATGTGCGACTTGGACAGTTTGCGCTCGATGTTGGCCGACAGCCACACACGGGCCAGCGGGCCTGTCTTGGATAGGAGGGTTTCTGAGTAGAACATAGCGGCGATATGTCGTTGAGTAGCACTGTCAGAGGACGAGTGGGAATCCCAACGATGTGGAGAGATGAAACCCGCCCGGCGCGGGGTGAGGCGTAGCAGGAGATGACGCGCGTGAAGTGGCCGGGGAAAACAAAATACTCGTGCCGGGCTTTATGAAAGATCGCGTTTCCACAGGGAGAAAACGATGCTGTGCAAGGGCGACAGGTAAAGATACAAATTGAAGAGCACGTCGCGTTATAGTCACGTCGTTTGCACCGAGCGCGAGGAGACTAGTTGGCTGAGAAACCAAGAAGAACGAGGGATGCGCGTGGGAATTCGGGCAACAGCAAGTTATGCTGATATAATCAGGCAGGAATCGAGGGGGCTGGGGTTTGATATGATTGGCTGTAAAGAATGGTTTGGAGCTAGATCAAATGCAGTTGTTCCGGGTCAATTATTCTTCCGTGCTTTACCGGTCTAGTCCCAACAAGGTAAAGCATCATCATGGGACTTGGCTGTTTCCAACCGCTTTCGACGCTTGTGTGAGTCTCCAGTGCGAATTTTAGAGAACTGACTTGTTGCTTTTGTTTTATTGTCGTCTTATTTTTTTCTTATTTAATCTCCTGGTGTTCTCCGGGTTTGATTGGTCTCTGAATTTGTCGATCTTACGCGGTCCCCCAGTCCCCATCGGGTTCCATCGCAAGTCTGGAACGCCCCCCGTTTGAAGCTGCTGCCAGATCGCATCTCCTCCCAAACGTGTTCGCGCTTCCCCCCCAACAATTCCAATCTAGGCGGGATGAACAGTAGTTTACGATACATATAACGGTTTCTCTTTCATTTACATCGGGCTTCCTTCCCCAATCTCTTCGGAAAAAGCATGAGAGATGTCAAGGTCCGCGACACCCGCGTTGCCGCTGCATAATGCACAAACCTTCGATTCACCACGTCCCTCCTCCACCAACCCATTAGGCGGACGGCCAGGTGCTCCCTCATCGGTAAGTGAACAAGAAAGCATAATTCATTCCAACAACAATTTTTGTGGTTGGCTGTTCGTCTGAGGTATCACACCGCTAACTTTCAAATTCTTTGAGATAGACTTCCACCTCCACATACTCATGGCTCGAAACTCACGAAACTGCTGAACGATTACACACATCACTCCTACATGGATTGACGCCCGCCGAAGCGGAAATTCGTCTTGCCCGTGATGGCCCCAACGAGCTTCCCCACGAAGAACCGGAGCCCCTGTGGCTACGGTTCCTCAAACAATTCAAAGAAACCCTGATCCTTCTTCTCCTAGCCTCTGCGGGCATCTCATTTATCATGGGCAACTATGATGATGCTGTCAGTATTACCTTGGCAGTTACAATTGTGGTCACAGTTGGCTTCATTCAGGAATATCGATCAGAAAAATCGTTGGAGGCGTTGAGTCGCCTTGTCCCGCACTTCGCTCATCTTATCCGCGATATCCCATCAACTAGTACCGCTATCAATAATGCCACTCAGTCATCGCCAGGACCCCGAGAAGAAACTGAAGAGCTCAGGAGCAAGAGTCCGGGCGCCGCATCTGCCGCTATCAAAGCATCCTCTACCGTTCCTGCGAGCGAATTGGTGCCTGGAGATTTAGTCCTCTTCTCAACTGGTGACCGTATTCCTGCAGATATCCGGATCACCGCCGCAACCGATCTCACCATTGACGAATCGAACTTGACCGGTGAGAATGAACCGGTTGTGAAATATACCGCCGCCCTTCGCATCGCGCCAGGTGGAGCCTTACAACCTCTCAAGAACGTCAATCCCCCTCGGTCGCCATTTTACGATGCTCCCGCTAGTGGTGCTGTCGGTGCAGATGTCCGTTTAAATGAGCAGCATAATATTGCGTTCATGGGTACTCTGGTTCGCTCGGGATACGGTCAAGGTATTGTGATCTCAACCGGTGCGAAGACGGAATTTGGAAGTATTTCAGCCTCGCTTCAGGAAATTGAAAGTCCTCGGACTCCGTTGCAGTTGTCGATGGATCGCCTGGGTCAGGAATTGAGTTATATTTCGTTTGGTGTAATCGGTCTTATCGTGGTTATTGGCTTATTGCAGGGCCGCAAGTTGTTGGAAATGTTCACAATTGGCGTTTCACTCGCTGTTGCGGCCATTCCAGAAGGTTTGCCCATTATTGTGACCGTCACGCTTGCTCTGGGTGTCCTTCGTATGGCCAAGAGGGGCGCTATCATGCGCCGACTCCCCAGTGTGGAAACTCTTGGCTCCGTCAATGTTGTTTGCAGTGATAAGACTGGAACCCTCACGATGAACCACATGACTGTTACGAAGATGTGGCATTTTGATTGCGATGAAGCATTCGAGGTTCAGCGCGACATTGCCTCGACACTTTCACCAGGGCCGGCAGCACGCACTATTCTTAGGGTTGGAAACATTGCAAACAATGCTCGGCTCTCGCGCACTCACGCAAACTCTCCAGCTAGCGCCTCTTCCGCAGCAGTCTTGTCATCAACCGTCGACCGGGACTCGAGTGCTATCAAGAGTCGATGGGTTGGCCAGCCTACCGATGTCGCTATTTTGGACCTGTTGGATAACCTCGGAGAAGATGATGTCCGCGAGCGAATCAGCGCTCGTGTATCTGAAACCCCCTTCAGCTCTGAGCGAAAATGGATGGGTGTCATTATTGGCAGCGGTGCTCCTGGGGAAACCTATGGAGGGTCCAATGTGGCTTATATCAAGGGCGCTCTTGAGCAAGTTCTGGCTCGTTCGGACACATACCTGACCAAGGATGGTCGAGAGGTAATTCTGGACGAGCCTCGACGCAAGATTATCCGGGACGCGGCAGAGCACATGGCATCCGAGGGTCTTCGAGTTCTTGCCTTCGCCAGCGGTGCCGCGCGAGACGAATCCCGGGGTATGAAGGGATTCGGCAGCCGGTCTAGCACTCCTGTCTCCAAGTCCAGCAGCCCGAAGGATGACGATGATCGGTATAATGGATTGGTGTTTGCAGGATTGGTTGGAATGAACGATCCTCCTCGCAAGGATGTGCACAAGTCTATTCGACGTCTAATGGCTGGTGGAGTACGAGTCATTATGATTACAGGTGATGCCGAGACAACGGCCGTGGCTATTGCAAAGAAACTGGGAATGCCAATTAATGAATCTGCCGGGTCACGATCGGTCATGCGCGGTGATGAATTGGACCATATGACAACAGCGCAGCTCGCTCAGGCTATTTCGACCACATCTGTCTTTGCCCGTACCAGCCCCGATCACAAGATGAAAATTGTTCGCGCACTGCAGTCTCGTGGAGATGTGGTTGCCATGACTGGCGATGGTGTTAATGATGCCCCTGCTCTGAAGAAGGCTGATATTGGCATTTCAATGGGTCTTCTTGGCACCGACGTTGCCAAGGAAGCAGCAGATATGATTTTGACGGATGATGACTTCTCGACTATCCTTCGGGCCATTGAGCAAGGCAAGGGAATTTTTTATAATATTCAGAACTTCATTACTTTCCAGCTCAGCACCAGTGTGGCTGCGCTGAGTCTCGTGTTGCTCAGTACGACGCTCGGTTTCAAGAATCCACTGAATGCCATGCAGATCTTGTGGATTAGTGAGTTTCCCTTTCTCCGCTTCTTTCTTGGTTCTCTCTCTAACTGTGCTTCCAGATATTCTGATGGATGGCCCACCGGCCCAGTCCCTTGGTGTTGAGCCTGTTGACCCCATGATCATGAACCGGCCCCCGCGACCGAAGACCGCGCGGGTATTGACAAAACCGCTCATACAGCGCGTCCTTACTTCTGCCATGGTTATCATGCTAGGCACCCTCTCCATTTACATCCATGAAATGGGCGATGCGACCGATGGCCAGCCATTGGGCACCCGTTCCGGTGTGGTCACGGCCCACGACACCACTATGACATTCACCTGCTTTGTTCTCTTCGACATGTTCAATGCCCTGACCTGTCGCAGCGAAGGCAAGTCCGTGCTCCGAGGCGAAATCGATCTATTTGGAAACAAGATGTTCAACTACGCTGTCCTCGGCTCATTGGCCGGTCAAGCGTGTGTCATCTACCTTCCCTTCCTGCAACGCATTTTCCAAACCGAGCCGCTTGGCTTTGGATCCCTGCTTAAGCTTGTTTGTCTCGCGAGCACTGTATTCTGGGTCGATGAAGGCCGTAAGTATTATCATGCGCTCCGTCGTCGGGGTGGCCTCGGCGCTGGGTACAGCCTCAATGTTTGATATGATAATTGGGCTATTGGGTGGTTTGTTGCACTTATACTGTGTTCAAGTTGAAATCCCAGAACGGGTGTGTAACCTATTTGATGGGATGATATCCCCTATACATAATAGAGTTGGGGAAAGACGCATGTTGGTGGCTCGTATGCTTTGGTACACGGGCCTGTAAATCTAATGATATTCATGTTTGTTCTGATTTGTTCCTATGAAATCGGCTTATCTGACCAGTGTTGTATCCTTGGTATGCAGTGTAGTGCAGCATTGTTTGGGTGACTCTTTGCTTAAATGTACTCATCCGTTCCAATTAACAGATCGAAATGCTTCCTTCTGGCCCTTTGCCCCAGTCGTGATGGCCAATGTAAAGACGTAGATCGGATAGGAAATCGATATAAATCTCCACGGCCTAATCTAATTTTTTGTAGGAAGAAGAAAATTTTCAGATAATATCGGTATTCAACAAAATTCGTTCAGTCTTCTCTCCACGTGCCAAAAGGTACTGATTAAAAATATCACCAAAAAAAATTGACCGACGCAGGGGTCGAACCTGCAATCTCTTGATTCGTAGTCAAGCGCCTTGCCATTGGGCCAGCCGGCCTTGTTGAAGAGAGACCCGTAGCTGGCTATAAGAGTGGAGTTGCAACGACAGTAGTCAGACCATTCATCTCGTATATGTAATCCGCCCGAGGTCGCCACTGCGCGATCGGGGTGGCAATCAGGTGGCAACTTTCCCCGCCCGAATCACTTGGCTGGATTTCATCGATTTGCTCCATCTATTTCTAGACATTGAATTTGATCTAGTACGGTTAGTTTCGGAAAATTATTTATTGTGGGCTGGTTGTGCCTAGGCGTGGCTGTCCACCTGGGGGCTTTTAGGATTCGCAATATATACCCGCACCAATATATACATCTTGGTATATTCATTCCAGAATCCTAGCCCAATACAAGTCAACCCATATATAGTACAGTAAATCCGTTGTTCACCTGGTTTTAAATTTAGTACTTATATTTTGCATGACATGCCGGGACCTTTCTTAGTGTAATTCGCACGAAAGTCATATACGCATGATACCACTCACTCTACGCTCATCTACCCCTAGCAATAAGGATATTTTTTCATGCATGACTCTTAAGCGCTTGAGCTCACAATATATCCCAAGGCTTCTCATCTTAATAGTTGCATCTTACCCGCGATATGATAGAGAACCAGTCACTAACCATAACTCAAATAGCCGCAGAAGCCGAATGCAGCAAGGTCACGATCATAGACGTTCGCCAAGCAATAGACTATGTAAAGTGTAGGGTGAACTTAGCCGAGATAACTAGACAAAATCAAAATCGACTTTGTCATGCCCATTTCATAGGTGGCGCTATCCATTAGTACCGAAGAAAATATTTATGCAGATTGACTTGGGGCTTACAGCAACCATTTTCGGTGCTGTCGTATGCAACAATGATGTAGTGGTTCGGAAAAAACCTCATGTATTTGCTAATATCCAGCTCAATTCATGCAGCAGGGAGTTTTTAACAATCTGCAAAAAGTAATCCCCCTCCGCCCTATCATAGAATGCCTCATTATATGCCAAATTCAAACAAAGTTGGTCTCGAAAGGTCCACACATGACACACAGATTGTCTGTTGATCATATCTAAGCCACCCGAGACTCGGTCGATGCGGATTCCCCGCTCTGCAGTTCCCTTTTGTCTCGCTATAAGTTTCTCGCACACGCCGAGGCTGCTGATATCCACATCGGTTGGCGAAGGGGTGTTCTTCGGCGAATTGCGAAGAAGGTTGCACAGCCCAATAGCGTATTCACGATGCGCCGACATGTAATCATGACTTAGACCTTTGCGGTACTCGTCATGATACGCCTTTGCTCGGTCTATCCATGACGACTCGGATGAAACAGGGAACATCCAACCTGTCGTGAAGATCGTGCTGGCATACTGGCGACCAGAGTATGGCTCTGGTAGGAATGGGCGTAGACTGTAACGTATCGTACTTGTATAGTGTTTGTTCTGATCGCCAGCAGTAGCAAACGCATAGTTGGCTCCGGCAATTGACGCATGTACTGCTGCTGTTACTGAGAGCTTCCGAGCCTTGCTACCTTGTATTACGGCCTTTGTCTCTTGCTCACTGAGATGCAGACGGCTAATGCACGTACCACCTGGGGAAGTCTCCTCTGGTGCGTGACAGGTGATTCCGATGGCCCCAGCGGCATGACCAAAACTTGCAACACACTGCTGGGCTAGTTGCTTATCTTGGCTCTCCGACGTTACAAAACTGGACAGTACTTCCTCAACACACGGGGCTAAGCGGACAGTCTCTTCACCCCATGACAAGCAGGAAGTATCTAGAGCAGACTGCGCGGCCAGATCAAGGAAGTCGTCCATTAGAATCAAGCCTCCGATTCCATCCGTTCTCCAGTGTTGCGAGCGGCCCAACAGCTCACCTGTCTGGGGGAAAAAGGTCATAGTAGCATATGGAACGCGTGTGGTAGATGCGATGAATTCATCGGCCGTCATGTCCTCAACCACCTGGAAGGTTTCCGCCGTCCATTTCTCAAGCGCCATAAGATCGGGTATATCGTAGACATATTTCGTCTCATCTACAATATAGGCGGCGATTGTGGGGTGATTGAAGCGCAAAGCCTTCCATGCTTCACGGAAGCGAAAGGATAGATTTTCCTTGGCGAGTGAGCCTAGCGGGGTCACCGAGGCAATGATGTTAATAGCCCAGTGTTCACGACTGAACGGGCGAGCGGCATCACCAAGGATCTTGATAAATGTTTCATTCTCGCCGAGTGGACGTTCAAATCGTTGTTCGCTCACTTCAAACCATGTCATGTTTTATTGTGCCCTGACTTGGAACAAATCTTGCCAGGTTGTCCACTATGTTTGGTCGCTTTGCATGAAAGATATATTACATTCCCAGGCCAATTACGGTATTATGACCTTGACTCATTCATCGATACTAGGGAGTACAATACGATCTTACAGGGATTGCTGGGGAATGGCTTAAAATAGACTAGCGTGTCTTAAGCTATACAGGGCCCGGGAATGAAAGCCTAACAGTGTAGAGGTAAATAAATATGAATTCGAAAACTACTGTATCATAGGTAACGAATACTTGGAGCAATTGAAGATGTCACCAAAGCATTCATTATTCAATCAAAAAGATGGGACCCAGTAATTGACATGGAAATACTTCAATGTACCCATTGGCTTGTGGTCTGCAAAATGGGACGTATAGGACCAATTGCTCTCCCCAGTTCAATTGGCTAGACCTCACGTCTGAAAGCTGTCCACAGCCAATGGAACAGCTAGCAGATAGGAAGATCTATTAGGTGATATGAAGCTATAGTGCACACAAGGTAATTGGCACGTGACAGGAGTAGTTGAAGTGCATTAACCCACGTCCAGCCTCATCTCCAATTTAGTAAGCCAAGTAAAGATCTAGACATTTAGACTCATGCACCCCAGATACCCCGATTCGGTAGTACCCACCTTGAAAAGACTGCAATTGGTAAGAAAAATATTTCACGCGTCCCGCTGGCTCGCTCCCCCGAGCCTAGAGGCTCTGCTAACCCCCAGGATGCGTTCGACCCACGACGGGCTCTATATTAGTTGGGGAGATTAGATGATGCAGCTTGAGATCATAGCGGGGCAGCGGATCCTCTTTGTTCCAGAAGGCTAAGCGTGTATGCAGTGTTGGATCGAGGTGCAAATTGATGCCATGTATTGGCGTCAACGACATAGGACCCGAATTTAACAAGAAGCTTAATTATCTACGAAAGCCAGAAGAGTTTTGTCTCGTTTCCAAGCCAATGCAAGGACCATGTTGTTTCATGTTCACTTCCTGGGGCCTTCCGCATGATCAGCATTTGATGTCTCGAACCCAAGAATAGGGTATGACTAGTTGAATGTAGTCACAGGGGATCGGAGGTATCGCGCTGATAAGGCCAAGACCCTTTTTTAGGGTCCCACGCGGGCCGATTGATGACCATTTCATGTGCTCCGAGTGGACGCAAACAATAGAGTAATCCATCCTTCATTGACAGAAACAATGATGTTTCAAGTACAAATCTCCATGACTGGGATTTCCAATTTGATTTTTAAGCGTTCGAATGGCTCGGTCAAGCCCGATGTTCGGGGCAAGACAGACTTTCCTGCATATCCCGACGGTCGGGTTCTCTCGGAGCGGCAAACCGTGAGCTTATCAGGAGCCAATGGTGAAGAACAACAATATCTCAGCGTTCGACCGCACTAGACCGAAAGCGTCGAGGCTTGGCTTTCAGCGGAGTGACCCACTTAGCGGCCGGTGGCAAGTCTTTATCTGTATCCAATGAGAAGGCAGATAACCCGGACTCAGCTGTCCAATTGCTCGCCACGGATAGTGGATTGGGCTCTGGATAGAGAATGTCAGAGATAAGGAAAGATGCTTCTCTTTCCGACCTGCGTTGGAGTTCGCCGACAGTGTGAGCCTCTGATAAGCTTATCTGGGTAGAGAGCAGGAGGAATACATGGCCAATTTTGGAGCTATACTTTTTTCAATCCTATATAGAGAGCTAGAGAAGCCCGGCAGGTGAAGGGATTCATTTCCCCCCAATTTCACCCCAGGATGACTTCCCCGGAGATACATCACTGACGAACCGATACGATGGTTCCCACCGGGGATCGATTGGGTAGAGCGCGGGCTTTGTTTCGGAGCCAAGAACTAAAATTCGATTGGGACCAAGGAAAAAAAGGCAAACCTGGCAAACCTGGAAAAAAATGTTATTCCCGCCACTCGACCTCTTATGGTCCGGTAGCATACACCGGGAGAATTTCATGATGATGCGGAGGGGGATTTCTTCTATTTTCTCTTCTTTTGTTAGTGTGTATAATCCCCCTACAATTGACAATTGAAACGATTCTTGAACTTTGGGTATATTTTTTACTTGGTACATGTGCAGTATATAAAGGTTATCGGTGATTGGGGCGCAGTGGATGATCCCGATTATCCCATTACTGTTGTCATAATCATTTTTCACCACAACGTACCTTCCCAATCCTTCTTTCAATATTCCACTTAACCGCGCCTTCCCCGGCTTTTGCGTTAATCTCCTCGGACTAATCACTTATCCCTTTTTAACTGGGTCATTTTTGCTTTTTTCCCAGTTATCTGGACCTCGCAATTGCCTCGCGACGCCTTGGTCCGATTTCAGGCCCTGGTGGGCCCGTCGATCCGACTTATCGCTCTGGGACTCCGCAACGGTTCCAGTTTCCAGAATTCGTTTATATTCTTCGCGACTTTCCCCCGTGGCGACTTTTCTCACTCTCCACCTCGTGCCTGCAGCTTTACGCGATTCACTCAGCTTGCGGTACTTTCGCCCATCCGAAATTTCTTCTCCCTTCCAACATCTCCACTCGACCTCGCTCAGCACTTTATATTTTCCTAGTCGACGAGCTCTTCGGAGTTCGACTCGCCTCACATCATGTCCACCTTCAATGGGAAATCCCCGTACTCCCCGGATTATGCATCTTACAACTGGACTGGGGCTCCCGCCGACTACTCCCAGCTTACTACCAATGAAGCACTTGGTGGCAACTCTCGTATGTAACTAATCCAATTCCTGGACTTCGATCGAGCACAGTTCCTTATACCGGTTTTGTTATAGGCACCGAGAACGTGAACAAATGGTTTCAATCGGGTGATCAGGCCTACATCATTGTGGCCTCGGCCATGGTGATGGTTATGGTGCCCGGTCTGGGTTTCCTGTACTCGGGCTTGGCCCGCCGAAAGTCTGCTCTCAGTATGATCTGGGCCTGTATGGCTTCCATGTCTGTCGTCACTTTCCAATGGTACTTCTGGGGTTACTCTCTTGCCTTCTCCCAGACCGCGACCAACGGTTATATCGGCAACCTGCGCAATTTTGGCATGATGAAGACTTTGGCCGCGCCGAGTCCGGGTTCTCCACTAATCCCCGATCTTCTATATGCTTTCTACCAGGTACGATTTGATTGATCAACACCGAGTAAATTCCTTACTTACATTCTTTCTAGATGCAATTCTGTGCAGTAACTGCTGCTATCGTTATGGGAGCTGTGGCCGAGCGCGGTCGGCTTCTCCCCGCCATGGTGTTTACTTTTGTCTGGGCAACGATTGTTTACTGTCCATTAGCCTGCTGGGCCTGGAATGTGAATGGTTGGGCATACAAGTACGGTGTGATGGACTACGCCGGTGGTGGCCCTGTGGAAATTGGATCCGGTTTTACTGCTCTCGCCTACTCCATGGTTCTCGGCCGTCGACAAGAACGCATGATGCTCAACTTCCGTCCTCACAACGTTTCGCTTATTCTTCTCGGTACCGTCTTTCTCTGGTTCGGCTGGCTTGGATTTAACGGTGGTTCGTCCTTTGGTGCCAACCTTCGTGCCACCATGGCCTCCTGGAATACCAACCTGACTGCGGCGTTTGGAGCCATCACCTGGGTTCTGCTCGATTGGCGCCTTGCTCGTAAGTGGTCGATGGTAGGTTGGTGTTCCGGTACCATCTCAGGACTCGTGGCCGCCACTCCAGCATCCGGATTCATTTCCCCTTGGGCCAGTGTGGTCCTGGGTATCGTGACCGGCATTGTTTGCAATTACTCGACTAAGATCAAGTTCTGGATCCGCATTGACGACTCTATGGATGTGTTGGCTGAGCACGGTATCGCTGGCATTGTCGGTCTCGTTTTCAATGCCTTCTTCGCTGACGATGCGATCGTGGGTCTGGACGGTGTCAACACTGGCACCGGAGTCGGTGGCTGGGTGATTCACAACTACAAGCAGCTTTACATTCAAATCGCCTACATTGTCGCTACCGCCAGCTACGCATTCGTTATGTCCGCCCTGATCGCCCTCGCCATCAACGCCATCCCTGGTCTCAACCTCCGCGCCTCCGAGGAAGCTGAGCTGCTCGGTATGGACGACGACCAGCTTGGTGAGTTTGCATACGACTATGTCGAGGTCCGCCGTGACTACCTTGCTTGGACGCCACAGCAAAAGGACCAGCTTGAAGATGGCCACCATATTCCTGCTGCCGAACGCTACGGTATCGGCGAGCACAGTGACATGATGATTGAAGGCCAGGCACCGAATGGCGAGATTAGCCAGAGCAGCCGGGGCGGCAGTGAGCCGGAGGCTATCCAGGAAATCAAGGTGGCCCCCGCTCCCCGACAAGTCGCCGAGCACCACCCGCCCGACACTCAGCAACCCACTGAACAGCCAGTCAAGCTGAGACCTGTCAACGAGAAGACAGAGGATAATTGAAGCTTCAGCCTATCAACTCTTCTACGACCTCCGCATCTCTTCCAGCCCTTTTCTTTTCACATTTGTTCGATATCCCTCTGAGCGCATTCTACTTTTTTTCCCATAAAAGCCTGGGGCTTTTTGTTTCTTTCCGACATAATCATCCTGTTCTTATACCTCTCCAACCTCCTCCGACACTCCCACCATCTATATATTCGACTTTCATCTCTACCATATCAATCTCTCATATCACCTATACACTATTTCCTCCCCCGAAAACTCGCATCTTTTGTCCCGGATCTTCTTGACTCGAAAAAATGCAACTGGGAAAAGCAATCATTATCTATGCTTCTTTCTGACCTGGCGTTTTTCTTGTTGGTTTGATGGTGCTTTCTTAATTTATCGCCTTCATACTTTGCATGGGATTTGAACGGATGTAAATATTATGTCTGGTCTTGTTTTTTTACCTTGTTTCATTTGGGCACCGCAATGGAGCTGGCTATGCGGATGTTTGAGGATACCTTTTGCACTATAGAACAATTTGATTTCAACCACAGACCTTTTAATTATCCTCTATTCCATTACTTTATTATTTAACTTCATTCAAAAGATGCCTTAGACTTGATATAATCAAGAGAAATCTTGAACTAGTACAAACGAAAGCTAGTAGGTATATAGGACATCGGCAGATACCAACCATGCCAGTCGGAGTAGGAGAAGGTGACTGATCAATAAATATATAAGAAGCTAGTATGTAGACAGGTGTAATTACTGGGACCTTTATGTCTCTAAGATGAATCTAGACACTAGGAAGTCGCGAGTCGTTTAAACCTACATTCTATACAAGCTATTTTTAGCCCTTGATGATGCCATATTCATAAGATATTACCATCAATAGGCGGTTTGGCCGAGTGGTCTAAGGCGATTGACTCGAATTTTCCTGTTATCAATTCTCTTCGGAGGCGCTGGTTCGAATCCAGCAGCCGTCGTTTTTTCTTGTTTTTTACGTCTTTGATTTTGAGAATCTAGTACACGCTCTAGGTCATTTTTGATATCATTAGTCATCACATTCAGGCGGTTTGGCCGAGTGGTCTAAGGCGATTGACTCGAATATTCGCGCTATCAATTCTCTTCGGAGGCGCTGGTTCGAATCCAGCAGCCGTCGTGCTCAGTTTTTTTCTACCCCAGCCACTGTTTTAGAGTCAGCTCAGGTTAGGTATTGTATTTGTTTTTAGTCATCATCCAAAGGCGGTTTGGCCGAGTGGTCTAAGGCGATTGACTCGAATTTTCCTGTTATCAATTCTCTTCGGAGGCGCTGGTTCGAATCCAGCAGCCGTCGGATTTCTTTTTGCCGTCCTCTATCTATTTTCGGATGTCTCTCTATACTAGCTTCAAGTTACTCTTGTTGTTAATTTCATTTTATTTTTTGGGTGCCTTCGTCTCTGACCTCTGTGGTGGTTTTTACTCAATTGCAATTATACTGATATAGTATGATGTATTATTACGCTTCCATGAAAGAGATCCCTATTATTATCGTATCCATATTATCCCATTCATCATTTATCCCCAGCAATTCCTCATAAATTAAACGACATAAAGGAGTGACACAGCGAAGGTCAATAACAGACTCAAAAGGCCTATGTGAGGAGCTTCCCAAGTCCGCGACGCGGCACTGTAGGAGACAGTAGAAGTAGGCGAGCTTGCAGAGCCAGTCTGGCTTCCGACAAACGGGCCCGTACTGCTAACAGTACCTATTATATGTGTTCCAGATTCAACGACCGTAACACCGGGGACAATGGTAGTTGATCCGGAGATGATAGCTGTTGAGCTGGGCAACGTGACTGTCGAACCAGATAGCGATTTTATATCCGTGGAGCCGGATTCTGTGTACGTAGTACCCGGGACAATCATAGTGGAACCAGAAATAATCAACGTTGAACTTGGCAAGGTGACCGTCGACTGAGCCTGTGAAGCTGTATCTGTGGGGCTGGATTCAACGTATGTGGTGCCAGGGATGATCACTGTCGAACCGGAGATTATCTCAGTGGAACTGGGCAGTGTCACTGTTGAACCGGAGAGTGAGTCGGTGACAGGAGTGGCTGGCTCTGTTATTGTTGAGCCTGGTACTATCACTGTCGAGCCGGAGATGATCAATGTTGAACTCGGGACTGTTATGGTTGAGCCGAATTCTGAGGTTGTTCCCTGGGTGGCGGACAGTGTTACTGTTGAGCCAGAGACCACCACTGTAGACGCTGATACAGAGATCGTACTTTGTCCAGCCGGTTGCGTTGTCTGTGCTGAAGTCGTTGGCTGGATCTGCGTGCCGGTAGACTGGATGCTCGTTATTGTACTTGCTGTTGACTGCTGGCTACTAGTGGCAGATGTCCGGCTTGCAGTGCTAGTTGCACTCGACTGCGCACTGGTGGTAGTAGTTGACTCAACACTAGTAGTGGTTGCCTCAGTGGTAGTAGTAGCTGCGGCCGCAGTGGTCGAAGTGGTCGATGTCGTCTGATCAGAACAGAAATTCAACCATGGTGCAAATGAAGGCAACAGTGTAGATGAAACCATGGATGAGGCAGAATCGCCCGCATGACTGCTGATGCAATCCTCACAATAACCCAAATCAGTCAGGAACTCAGATCCGGCATCACACAAAGAAGGTGTAGCTCCAGTATTTTCTCCGTCAATGGCAACGATATTGCAAAGTCCAAAGCATGCACTGGGTATGTTTTCTACGTCCACCCGCTTGGTCATTCCACCGAGGAAGTAGCCCATGAGCCTGTCAAATCTGCCTCGAGGCGAGAGAAGATCCATCTTCCTGGTCACTCTGGATTCAGACTCTACAGCACATTCGAAGATATCGTAGGTGAGGCCAAAGTCCGTTGGATCCAGATTGTAGTAGTTCGTGGAGACATTGTAGCCGGATTCGTCGTTGAAGATTGGGACAGGGGCAACAATGCAGTTTTCAGGAGAACATATGTAAGTATCGGCTGGAAGACCGGCTTCAACATTGCAACCCGCACGATCACCCGTATGAGGAGGGCTACATAGATATCCAGGTGCACAACCCCAGATATAATTGTCTGGTAATTTGGTGGTAGGTGTGTAGCTCGGATTGGTGATGAGACTGGAGCATACACTGACGGTGGCTGTCTGTGTCTGTGTTTGAGTCGTGTCTTGTCCAGTCACAGTATCAGTAACAGTTCTAGTGCTGCCGTAGCTCTTTGTGAGCGTTGTTCCAGGCCTGGTAATAATTTCCGTGACTGTACTTCCAACTGAGATGGTGGTTTCCGAGCCTAAGATCATGTTAGCCTCTTGAAATTTGATCAGAGTATGGATAATCTACCCGATGCCGTGATTGTGTTGATAATAGTCAGTGTACTTGCTGGAAGCGTGGTTGTCACGGTCCGAGTTGATGCCGGTAAAGTGCTGACAGTTCCTGAGATAGTGATTGTGCTGGGAGGCTCGGTAGTAGTTGTCGTGATGGTTGATGCCGGAATAGTAGTTGTGATGTAGCTCAAAATCGTATCTGTCTCCACTATAGTATCCGTTTCCACATTCGTAGTTCCTGGGGCTAATGCCACATCAGTCCCTAGGATCATAATAAAGGTGCGGAGTATTTACCCGTAGCAGTGATTGTGTCACTAACAGTTATTGTACTGGCTGGCAGGGTGATTATCACGGTTTGAGTCGAAGCTGGTAGAGTGCTGACAGTCCCCGAGATAGTCACTGTGTTAGCAGGCTCGGTATAAGTTGTCGTGATAGTCGACGCGGGGATAGTGGTCACAGATCCTGAGATGGTATCGGTCATCACCACGGTATCAGTCTCCGTTTCCACAACTGTGGTTCCTAGGCCTAATACCCTATTAGTTCCTAGTATTATAGTAAAGGTGCGGAGTATTTACCCGTCGCAGTGATTGTGTCAATAATAGTTCTTGTACTGGCTGGCAGGGTGATTATCACGGTTTGAGTCGAAGCTGGTAGAGTGCTGACAGTCCCTGAGATAGTCACTGTGCTAGCAGGCTCGGTATAAGTTGTCGTGATAGTCGACGCGGGGATAGTTGTCACAGAGCCTGAGATGGTGTCGGTCTTCACCACAGTCTCGGTCTCTACAATGGTATCAATTTCCGTCTCCACCACAGTGGTCCCGGGTAGGTCTGAGCCTGTCAGGGTGACTGTGGTCTCTTGTCCCGATAAAGTGACCGTTGATCCCCCGAGAGTTTCGATATCCGTCGAAACCAATGTGACTGTCGTTCCTGCTCCCGACACGGTGACCGTTGAGCCCCCGAGAGTCTCGATATCAGTTGAAACTAGTGTGACTGTGGTTTCAGGTCCTGACAAAGTAACTGTTGAGCCTCCCAGAGTTTCGACATCTGTTGAAACTAAGGTGACGGTTTCAGGCGCGCAAGTTTCCGAGACAGTGACCGTTATAGCACTTCCAATAACTGTTTCAGTAGCTGTTTTGGTGACAATATCTGTGATATCACCTCCGGTAATAGTATCTGTCACAGTGACTCTTTCCGCACTTCCAGTAACAGTCACGGTGCACGTGTCGGTGACAGTATCCGTTACAGTGACCTTTGCAGCTGAACCTGTCTCCGTAACAGTATTGGTAATCGTGACAGTATTTGAATTGGCGGCTGTGATCGTATCGGTGATGATGTCGGTCGTGGTACGGGTTGTAGTATCCGTAACGGTGCACGTAGATACTTCGCCTTCACCGACCCAAACGGTGACGCCAATTGTGATTGTTATATCCACCTCACAATCTGCTACCTCTTTAGGCCCCATCATTTGGGTGACTGCGGCCAATGTTGGCATGGGCGCAGAAACGGCATTGCTAGCGGTTACTGTTGACGAAGCGCAAGCAGTTGTCGCAAACAGCGACAACCAAGCGAGCGAAGATCTCATCGTCGCAATTCCTCGAGACTGCAAGCTTACAATGAGGCTTGAAAATACACAAAGAAAAGGAATCAGGCACGGAAGGAAATAAAAGAGCTTCAGTGCACATGCGCACGGCCCCGGGGTTTCTTAGTTCCCGAGTAAGTTCATAGTGCAGAGGCTCAAAATGCCCAGTCGAGGACTTTGCGGCATGTCGGGGCAGTGACTCCGTCTGTTTATGTTGACGTGGTTAGCCAATGCCCCGCACACAAAGAGAAAGCAACCTAACCAAGCTCGGGTACAAAGACGGGATGAGAATCCTGCCCGCGAACACGCATGTAAGGCCCGCAGGTGTGGATGCATCTTAGCCAATTCAGCCGCGCCAGCAGGGATTAGTACATGTAACCCCTCAATAGATCAGCAGCCTCGTCCCATGCGGACTCGTATTGTGGTTTCTCGCTACTGGGTAGCGGTCTGTAAATCGCATAAAAATGCCAAGCTAAGCAGGCAAAAAAAAAAAAAAGAAAAAAGCGCAGTGTAGCTTTTGGAAAGAAGCCCGTAGCTACGAGACCGTGCATAAGCTCCGCTTCTTTGTCAATGGTGGCTTTCAGGCGCACGGGGCCCGGTCATAGCGGGGGATTTCCCGTGAGCTCACGGAATCAAAGAGCGCAAACAAAGCCGCATCGCTGCGATCTGGATACTGCGCCTCGCTTCCACTTGCTCCCGGCGTGAGCGGTCGCCCTATGACTAAACCATTCACTTGGCGATCTGGGGAGTTTCGCCTTTGAGCAACCGTCCCATTTGAAGATCTCGAGAATCTGAAGCGTGGTTGCGAAAGAAAATGTTTCTTTTAGGAACGTTTCTGACGCTACTGGCGGGGATAGATCGTGCGGTGGGAACATGTAGCGTGTACCAGACACAGGTCGGCTACTCTATGTGTAGCTGGCAATCGGTGCGTGGTAAGGCGTGCATTTCATTTCTGTTGCCATCGAATTTTATTCTGACAGCTTCAGCCAACGTTATTCGCGACACTATCTACATAGACGGAGGATATCTCTGGTATGAGCAGTACGAAAAGTCCTAGAGGTGAAAAGAAAAGTACCGGTAGAATACTGACATTGCTAGAATATACTCGGACAATTGCACCGGCAACGAGTCCCAAGGTAAAAGCCCTCGAGCCTTAAGTCCGTTAAGACATTGGAAGCTAACAGTTTGAACAGGAAGCTTTGATGGCTCCGTCTATACTTTCAATCTTTCCTCCTCATTCAACACTAGCTCGAATTTCTCAGATGTACTCAGTTTGATGTCCATCGCCGGCGCCGGGAGCAATATAGATCCAACCTTTGTTGATGGCGTGATGTTTGCCAACGATGGCGAGTTCTACCTCTATGGGTCGGTACTACTCATATCATGCACACTTCAGACTAGACTACTGACAAAGGTTTTTCAAACATTCTAGTGGTGCCGCCATCCCTACCACCGATAATGAGAATACGTCTGAAGATACGGTTCTCGGCTATGAAGCCTTCCAGTATGATGGTATTACCAAGCAAAACTGGGAGCCTAGGTGGTGGATCGACGACTTACCTGACAACGTGACAACGTACATCACAAACGGAGCTGGGGAATCAGCTCCTAGCGAAAACCTGGGCTTCTATTTCAGTGGAATGCATGCTCCGAATTGGGGCGCCATCTCATACCCACCGTACAAAGCCAACACAACAGCAGATACATTGATTACGGTAAACATGACAGTGATGGAGTCCGAGACATGGGTAAACGACACACTCCCGAGCTACGTTCAAGGCCGTGCGAACGCGGAGCTTGTTTGGGTACCAGTGTCCGAGTCTGGAGTTCTGGTGGCCATTGGGGGTGTCGTTGAACCTGCTGGAACGTTTGTAAGTCTAAACTCAACGCAGAAGGCGCGCAGCGTAAAAATCAGCCCAACATTCATGGAAACGGTTTCTGTCTACGATGTCGATACCAAGACTTGGTATCTCCAGAACACAACGGGCCATACACCGCCGCAATTGACCGAATTTTGTTCTGTACTTGCGAGCGCTGAGGACGGCTCGTCACACAATATCTATATCTACGGAGGGTACAATGGCCTCGATAACAATGCGAATGCATCGGATGATGTGTATATTCTGTCGTTACCCTCTTTCACATGGGTCAAAGCCTACAATGGGACAAACACACACGGCCGGAACGGACATCAATGTATCAAGGTCTACCCAAACCAAATGCTCGCCATTGGAGGCTATCGCATTGATGTGACACACTGTATTGAGGGAGGTGTTATTGTCAACTTCAACCTTAACAGTCTCAGCTTCCAGGCCTACGATCCCGAGCAGTGGAGCGACTACAAAGTGCCGGACCTCTTAATAGCTCAAATAGGTGGAGAGTAAGTAACAAAGCCAACAACATAGAGGATCATCACGGCTTACAGTGTTATAGCTCTTCGGGTGGTGCAACGACCACAGGTCCATCCTCATGGACCAATTCCTCACTTGAAGCTATCTTCAATACGAAATACACCAAAACAATCTCAACCTACTGGCCCTATAACCCGACTTCCACCGATAGCAGTTCAACAACACACCACAAAAAATTCCCGACATGGGCCGCAGCTGTGATCGGCGTGCTCTGTGGCCTTCTCGTCATCGGACTAATCATACTTGCATGGTTCTGCCTCAGACGTCGCCAAAAACGCCAGCTTGAAAAAGAAGAAGAAATCCATGAAACCGACGGTCGGCAACATCTTACATCCATGTACGGCGGTGGCCCAACATCACCTATAGCAGGCCCCAGGTCTGCATCTACAGGCCAGGAGACATCCGTAGGAGTAGGCACAATACAGGAATCGATCGACACATCTGCATCTCCCGGAACAGTTGAATCAGGTGGAGGTGCAGTCCACGAGATGCACGGTATGTCCTTCATTAACATTCAGCAACATACAGTACTAAACTCTACTCATAGACTCCTCGCCTATTGAGCTTCCTACCCAGTTCAACGTCTCAGCTGCCAATACAAATATTACCAGGGGGTCTTCGGTGACTAGTATAGCCCGAGGCTCCTCTCCTTCGCCTATTTTGCCTCAAACCCCCGAGTCAGAAATTGGTTCGTTCTTGATACCGAGCCACCACCGTAGTTTGTCGACTCGGTCGATTGACAATGTGGTTACCGGCCGAATGTCGCAATTTCATGAAACTTTCGATTATGGAAATGGGCAGCATCAGCGCCATGGGTCTGAGATTTCCGAGGCGAGTTCGAATGAAAGAGCTGCAATTGGTGGCAGCGAGACGATTCATGAGCATGAGTAATGTGTTTCATTAGTTCAGATTGTAAAGGGCCATTTTAATATTATAATATTTGAACAGAATCATGGCCTTGTCAAGATTTTATTACTTTTGGGCCCCATGAATATTCCAGGGTTTGAGATCGCAAGTTTCTGTCCGCTAAGAGTGCTTCCCTTAATGCTGATTGTATCTCTGAGTAAAATACCTGTATATCTGGTGTCCAGCCTAGGGGCTCACCTATGCAATGTTTATCTCTATCCATGTAAACCACAAGATAGAACTGAAAGAAACAGCAATAAATAAATATACTTTAACAGTTCCATGGAACTCTAATGCAAATACATAATAATTCGGATACTCCTATCTGCGTCTGACCATTGCACGGACACGTACTCTCTCCTCCCGGGTGAGCTTGTCTACTACCTCAGCGGCCTCACCACCCTGTAACACTTCATCCCACTCATCTTCGTCCATGCTCATCACGAGTGTCATCTGTACACATCGCGAAAGCGCTTCACGGTGGCGGTAGCGGCTGGGTGTACCAGATCCATAACCGACATCCACGGCGGTGCTGACTAGGCCAGCAATGTCGCGCTCCAGACGGCCTGCGCCGAGCGGGTTCACACGGCCCTGATAAGACCATAACCGTTTTTCTAACAGACGGGCAAAGTACGCGATAGTGACGGCGAGGAGACGGTCGAATGCTTGTTGTGTGAGGATACGAGCTATCGGGACAAGCATCTCTGACCAGCCGGCTGCAAAGCGAGGACGGACAAGCTCTTTGCTGCTGCCGTCGTGCTCGTGGAAGTCATCCTGATCGTCGATAGGCTGGTCGGCATCGCTTGATGGGTGGTATTCGATGTCGCGGAATGCATCAGCAAGGATGGGTCGAAGGCGGTGTTTGATGACATTGTTGAAGACAACTTGAATGCCGTCGGTGAGAAGATCATTGACCTTACTTTCGAATGAGCTTGCAAGAGAGTAAAGCGTGTTTGCAACCTTAAGTGCGGATGCAGGAGCTGGGAAGAGCGAGAGGAGATGTTCGGTGACCTGTGGTGGTTGCTCTTGGTTGCCGTCTTTGTAGGGGGGAAGAGGCTGCTTCAAGCCAGTGGTATTTTGAACAATGCGCCGTATATAGTCAATTGCGACGTCAAGGTTGTTAATCTGCACCAGGAATGCAATTATTGTCTGCTCTGGGGGGAGGGCTCCCTGCACAGGGGCGCGCGGGTAGCATTCATCACGCATCTTGCGTTGCGTCATGCCGATGAAGTCAGATCCAAGCACACGAGACAGCGTAGGAACCACATTTGTGACCACAGATTCCTGAGATGTGGCCAATGATTGTTGTAGAACCTTGTTGACAATGTACATTATGTCATCCACAGCAGATGTGATGTGGGGAGTGTCTGCTTGTAGTGGTCGTTGTAAATTCATATTTAAGCCCGATGGCGATTCATCCAGCTGGAATGCCTTTTCTACAGACCGGCGGAAGAAGAAGGTGGTCATGGCATTAAAGGGAGTCACAAGTCGATCATTGACCTTGCGCGCCAAAGAGGACTCCTGCAAGAAGGCAGGGAGCTCGAATCTTTTCTCATTATCGTCTTCACCTTCGACGGGAGGCTGTAAGAAAAATTAGCGATGGGAGCGAATAACATATAATTAAAACAACCCTGGAACTCACGTTGCAAGTGTCTGCTAGGAAACGACAGTATAGAGACCAGCGACCGAGCATAATACCCATCTCATTGAGGATTTCATCAATTTCCTTCATGTCGACCCCTTCATCTTCAGAAGTCCTTGCTCCTCCTGGCGCTGGCGAATGTGTCCGAGGCTGACCTGGACGTTGCGCCGGCAGGAAGCTTTGCACTAAGAATGTGAATGCATATGACTTGATTTCCATCAATTTCCGATCCACATGTCGCTCGTCGCCCCAGGTGTCTAGAATAATGCCACCCTGTACATCGGCTTCAACCTGCAGCCGTTCAATGACACGCCCCATTTTCCGGGGGCCATAGTGACGTTCGACTAGTCCGCCGTGACCATCGATGATCTGTGCAATATGTTCAAACAGCTTGGTCAAAGCATTGGCATAAAAGAACCCGTCCTTAGCCTGCGCCCCTGTGCTCGCATTGAGATTGCTGCGCGCCCTTGCAGCCACACCCTGACAGACATAGCGGCCATAAACATCCTGTCCAACCTCAGATCGGCCAATGAGTGGGAACAGCTTGAAGAATCGTGTAATCTTCGCCCCGTCGTTTTCTTTGACTGCCTTGTCAAATTCCCGCAAAAACAGTCCGCATAATGACTCCGCTGCGGTGTCCAAAGTCACACTTGGTGAATCAGGCACCTCGGCTGTCGGGACCATCTCTGCGGCGAATGCTCCATTGATCACCGCTTGTGGGATCTGTGCAGCGCGGTGTAGATAGCTGGCTGCCGTCTCCCAATCCTGAGACGCGCCCATAGACCCCGCAACACCCAGAGCGCATGCCTTGAGCTCTGCAACCTGCTCCACTACGTCCAGTGTAGCTTTCACGCGAGCCTGCTCCAAGTCTAGTCGGCGCACGGCACGCGAAATCCGATCAGCAGTGTCCGCTGCCTCAGAAAGCATCCCATGGCTAATCGCTCGGGTGGTGGTTGATTGAGTGCCAATGTGGGCGCGCATCAAATCCAGACGACCCAGTTCCCGGGAGAGATCTTTCTGTGATGTAACTAGCGCATCCAGACGTGCAGTTACTGAGGCTTCTTGGGTGTGGAGGCGGGACAGAGCCGCCTTGATCTCGGCCACGGAGCTGGCATTGAAGATGTCGGTTCGTGGGGACGTGTCCTTGGTCGCAATTGGTCGTTCCGGAAGGGACGGGGATTCGTCGCCATTTGTGGCCATTTGAGAGAGGGCCATGGTTGGACCATACAAGCTAGTTCTTTGGGGTTCCGAGATCCTATGTTGATGCCACGCGGTTGTCAAGGTGTCTCCGCGGGCGGTGAGCGGGGTGGGACTTTTTTCAAAGGATCTTGAAGCTTGAATGTTTAAGCCTCAAAGAAGCCAATCAATTCAAAAGAAATATCTCAAAATCCAAAGAGTTACAGTTTCAGCCGTGGGTTTACCTACAACTTGAACTATTTAATCCGGAACCAGGATATTCTTTGGTTCGCTACGTCCAACGCAACGTCATCTCCCTCCAGATTACTACTTCCTCACATCTGTGTCATCAAAGAACCAAACATTTAAAAGACCTTGCATTTTATTTTTCTTTCTTGCTTTGTTCTTCTTCCTCATCTTCTTTACACACTTAGGTAGAGCACTTAAGCTCAAGCTGCCACAACCGGAAGTCGCAGACCCCGCCATCAGCATCGGCAGTTCCCCATCATGGGTAACGAAGAGTCATCTATGGTGGATGAGTCCACCCATCCCTCAGTCTTGGATGCACGTAATATCGACGCGGTGGCCAAATACGTGAGGGAGAATAATGTCCGAAAAGTTGTCGTAATGGTACGTCCTCACCACGCCCCATATCTTGCAATAACTACTAACTAGAATCTCAGGTGGGAGCTGGAATCAGTACCTCAGCGGGAATTCCTGATTTTCGGTCTCCAGATACCGGACTCTATGCCAACCTGGCTTTCCTGGATCTGGAGGAGCCCGAGGATGTGTTCGATATTGAATTTTTCAGGCAGAACCCAAAGCCGTTCTATGCACTGGCGCATGAGTTGTATCCGGGACGCTATCGCCCCACGATCGCACACTCTTTCGTCAAACTGCTTTACAATAAAGGCATGTTGTTGAAACATTTTACACAAAATATCGACTGCCTCGAGCGCCAAGCGGGCCTTCCTGGTGACATGATTGTCGAGGCCCATGGTAGCTTTGCCACGCAACGCTGTATTGATTGCAAGCTGCCGTTTCCCGATGACAAAATGCATGGGATTGTTGAGAAAGCCGAGGTACCGCACTGCCTGGAATGCAAAGGCCTCGTCAAGCCTGATATTGTGTTTTTCGGGGAGGCTTTGCCTGCTGCATTCCACGAAAACCGCTCGCTGCCTGGAGAGGCGGACTTATGTATCGTGATGGGAACTAGTTTGACCGTGCAACCTTTTGCCAGCCTGCCATCGATGTGCAGGGAAGGTACACCGCGTGTGCTCATCAATATGCAACGTGTGGGTGGATTGGGGTCGCGACCGGATGATGTTTTGGTACTGGGGGACATCGATGCTGGAGTACGAAAGTTTGCCCGAGCTCTGGGCTGGGAGGAGGAGCTAGAGGCGGTTTGGCAGGAGACCAATCCGGACTCTGAATCTAGGGAGGAGGAGAATGCTCCCCCGCAAACCCGGGACGAGCGACTCCGGGCAGAGATCGAACGCCTTACGGAGGATATCGATCGCACCTTGGGCAGGACGGACGCATACCAGCAGCGAGTTCGTGAACGGTTGGGAGACTACAGCGACTCAACCAGTTCAACCAGCTCCGGGAATGGACTGGCGCATGTATTCCCGCACTTGGCGCGTAAATCTCACTAGATTCGCACCTTGACCGCTTGCGGCGTTCAGTTCAGTTGGAGATTCGGAGATCATCCTGTACTAGAAATTAAAGATACCAAGTTCAGAATAAACCAGGAAATTTACTGAAATTCTTGTAACAGAGAAGTGGGTAACGAAGCAACTCAGGACCTCTGATTCGTGGGCCGTCAGAGCTGCTAATAATATTCCAGAATTGACTTTCAATTCCTTACCGCAGCCAAATCAAGCAAGGTGATCTTTGCCCCACGTCCTCCATATCGTCATTCTCCCCTCCCTTGTTTTCCTCTTCTTTCCCCCCATTTACCTTGTGAAAAGAAAACATCCTCTAAATTCATCATGGTCGGATTAGGTCCTAAGCTCCCGCCGTCCCGCAAGGGTGAGCTACTACTGCTCCTTATCGCAAGCTTGAACGTGTGATGCTAATCATTTCCTCGCCCACCAGGATCGATGCACGATGTGCCGCAAAATCTTCTAAAGCAGATCAAGGATTTTGAAGAATACTTCACTGTGGACCAGGCCAAGCTCAAGCAGATTGTGGCCCATTTCGTCAAGGAGCTCGAGAAGGGTGAGTCTGCCCCGCAGATCGCCCGGGTTGTCGCGATTTAAGCTTACCGTGATGATAACATAGGTCTAACCGTCGAGGGCGGCAACATCGTGAGATCCACCACAATTGCACCCACACACGAATAATAATAACTAACAGCATACCACAGCCAATGAACGTTACTTGGGTTATGGGCTTCCCCGATGGTGAGGAACAGGGCACCTTCCTGGCTCTCGACATGGGTGGCACCAACTTGCGTGTTTGCGAGATCACCTTGACTGATGCCAAGGGCGCTTTCGATATTACCCAGTCCAAATACAAAATGCCGGATGAGCTCCGGACCGGTACTGCTGAGGAATTGTGGGAGTACATTGCCGATTGCTTACAGCAGTTCATCGAGTTCCACCACGGGGAGGAGAACCTCGCTAAGCTCCCGCTGGGTTTCACCTTCTCCTACCCGGCTACCCAGGAGTACATTGACCACGGTATCCTCCAGCGCTGGACTAAGGGTTTCGATATTGATGGCGTCGAGGGTGAGGACGTTGTTCCACCCCTGGAGGCTATCCTGAAGAAGCGGGTATGTTCAAGTCTAAAACCTATCTTCCCTTGTGATCAGCTTCCTCATTGTCTCAATTTAGGGTCTGCCCATTAAAGTTGCCGCCCTAATCAACGACACCACCGGTACTCTTATTGCTTCTTCCTACACCGATTCCGAGATGAAGATTGGTTGCATCTTCGGCACTGGTGTGAACGCCGCATATATGGAGAACGTTGGATCCGTTCCTAAGATTGCACACATGGGTCTTCCTGCTGACATGCCCATCGCCATCAACTGCGAGTATGGAGCTTTTGATAACGAGCGTGTGGTGCTCCCTCTGACCAAGTACGACGAGATCATTGACCGCGACTCTCCCCGCCCTGGCCAGCAGGCCTTCGAGAAGATGACCGCCGGTCTCTACTTGGGTGAGATCTTCCGTCTGGCTCTTGTAGACATTCTTGAGTCAACTCCTGGCGTCATTTTCAACGGCCAGGATACCTCCAAGCTGCGCAAACCATACCTGTTGGACGCCTCGTTCCTCGCCGCCATTGAGGAAGATCCTTATGAGAACCTGTCGGAGACCTTGGACCTTTTCGACCGCGAGCTCGGCATCCGTCCCACGCAGCCCGAGTTAGAGATGGTCCGTCGTCTCGCCGAGCTGATCGGTACCCGTGCTGCTCGTTTGTCTGCTTGTGGTGTTGCTGCTATCTGTACAAAGAAGAACATCGAGTCCTGCCACGTTGGTGCTGACGGATCCGTCTTCACCAAATACCCCCACTTCAAGGCCCGCGGTGCCCAAGCTCTCCGTGAGGCCCTGGACTGGGCTCCTAACGAGAAGGACAAGATTACTATCATGGCTGCTGAGGATGGATCCGGTGTGGGTGCTGCCCTGATTGCTGCCTTGACCCTGAAGCGCGTCAAGGCCGGCAACTTGGCTGGTATTCGCAACATGGATGACATGAAGACTCTGCTTTAGAATACATCTCGAAGAACAAGAATAAATAATGAATTTCTCCAGAGATATTCTGGAGCTTGATGGCATGTAAATGGGATATGCAGAACCATTTTTTCTTATTGAATTGTTGTATTGTTATTGAATGCTACATTTTGGCATCTTCAATCAATGGATCGTGCCTCGAGATTGGGACCTATGGGGAAACAACCCTGGCAGGCCGGACCTCGGCTCGGCATGCCGAATACCCTGGCATAAATCCGAGGTAGAATCCGACATGGATTGTGCGTCTTATAATTGCTATTCAACATATCCGTGGAAAGTGAACTAGAGGTAGACCTTGCATGTTAAACCATATTAAAGAAGGACTAGATTTGTCCGGATACAAGTTTAGGTTACCTAAATTCCAAGGTTCATCCGTGACTGGGGTAAGAGCCGAGATCTAATAAATAACTCTAAGCTTATTTCCCTTCGAATTTCGTCTCAAACGTTTCAGCATAGTCTCTGTTCTCGCATAATTCTTGGACCAATTTCTAAGAGGTCTGATTTGGAATGATTAGACGCATGTTATACTCCAACAATTGGCTTTCAATACGCAATCGGCTCGGCGATGTCGTGATTACCTCCACCTATCGCGCGCAACCAAATAAACAAAAACCTGAAAAGAAAGAGAGGTATTGCCAAGACAACTAAGAGAGAAAACTGTTGCGAAATCATTATAGGCCAGTTTTGCCTACGTCCTTCCATAAAAGGTATCCATCACCGTTGTCCCTACGCTAGTCAACCTTGCAAGAGCTTTAGTCAAATCATAGCACTCCTTTATGCATTTTCCGAAGGCTGTTTCCCTGTCCCCTCTTTTTTCAACCCGCTTTTCCCCTGACATTCTCGCGTGGGGATATGGCGTGCATCCTGCCACTCTGCGCGGACGGTAGCTCGTAGCAAATGTATTACTATAAAGCCCCAATGATGTCTCTTTTCCCGTGTTAGCTTCTGTCGACTCTTTGTGTTTTAGTCTACGAGATGTCAGAGTCTGAGGCCAAGATAGAGGCCGCTACAGCCTCGGCTGTTTCTACTATCATATCTTCTGATGTCGATGATAACTATGAGTTCTTCTTGCAACATAGGGGCCTTGAATATACCCCGGAAGAGGAAAAGAAGGTATTGCGAAAGATAGACCTGCACTTGATTCCGATACTCTTCTTCATTTACTTGCTACAGATTAGTTATCCTCCAACGTTGACTGATCTTGTGACTGAACACCGCGCAGTATCTTGATAAAAACAGCATCAATTTCGCTTCAGTGTACGGCCTCAAGACAGGAACCGGACTTACCGGATCGGACTATTCGTGGCTCAGTATGGTTCGTCTATGATCGTACATGAAAACCGTTCTGATGGCTTAGCAGGCTCAATCTTCTACTTCGGCTACCTGATCGCGCAATACCCAGCTGGACTAGCGATGCAAAAATTACCCGTCGGAAAATTCTTAGCAAGCACAACAATAGGTATGGAATTAAACCTGTCCAAGCCGACGTACTTTTCCACTTCCAACTTCTAACGGAAAAACAGTATGGGGCGGCCTCCTAATGACAACGCCAGCATGTCATAATTTTGCGGGAATCGCTTCCAATCGATTCCTCCTCGGCATGGTCGAAGCAGTTGTGAACCCAGGCTTTGTACTTTTAATGAGTATGTGGTACAAATCGCGTGAACAGCCCCTACGCCTGGAAGCCTATTACTGCACCAATGGAATTGCAACCATGTTTGGCGGGTAAGTAGCTCAACAGCCTATGGGATTAGTTTGAGGCTTACTTTTTTCGCCGTAGGCTACTTGGATATGCCATTGGACATATCACTACAGGATTACCTCGGTGGATGTATGTATTCCTGATTTTTGGTGCAATTTCCCTCGTTATCGGTATCCTGGCATTGTGGCTTCTCCCGGATCTCCCATCAACGGCCAGATTTCTCAACGATCGCGAGCGGGCTATTGCTCTGGATCGTATTGCGGGAAACAGACAAGGTGTGAAGAACCATCAGTTTAAATGGGATCAGGTGTGGCAGGCGGCCCGTGATCCAAAGACATGGCTTTTGTTTATTATGGCTATTGGTGCGCAGGTACCGAACTCGGCACTGACAAGTGTATGGTATCCCATTTTCTCCAACTCAAGACACAATACAGAATGGGCTTGAGGGTATGCTAATCCGAGCGATATAGTTTACATCAATAATTGTTGAGTCTTTTGGCTTCGACACACTCGGAACCCAATACCTTCAAATCCCTGGCGGTGCAGTCAATTTCCTGACACTGATTATTGGTGGCTTCATAGCGACAAAATACGATGGAAAGTTCCATTCCCGAAGTGCCTGCATGATCTTTGCCAATCTGACATGCATCATCGGATCTGCGCTCCTGGTCGGTTTATCGGACTCCAATAAATGGGGCCGGTTGGTCGCGCTCTGGCTATGCTACTTCCAAGGACTGGGATTTAGCATGAGTTTGACGATTGTTAGTTCGAATATTGCGGGCTATACGAAGAAGCAGGTTACCGGCGCTTTGTTGTTCACCGGGTATTGCGTTGGAAATATTATTGGCCCGCAGACTTTCAAGTCAAGTGAGGCTCCGGGGTATCATAGCGCTTATATTGCGTATGTGGTTTTCGTTCTTGTTATGGGATATGTGTACTGACGGGGCTTAGCATGCTTGTTGGATACACGATTAAGCTGACTGCTATTGTTGCGCTGTACCTTTATATGTACTTTGAGAATAAGCGTCGGGATCGCCTTGCATTTGAGAGTGGTGATCTGGAAGATGATGGCGTGGAAGCCGGAATGCTGGTATGTTATTGGTTTATTCTGTGACCGATAAGAGGCTAATTGAGCACCTATACAGGACCAAACAGAGATTGACAACAAAAAGTTTCGATATGTGCTGTAACCGGCAGACCGAGCATATATCTGTGGTGGTGTATACGCGACTTAAATCAGCCGTCCGGAATAGAGCTTATTAGCTTCAATACCACAATATGACAGAACAGTGAAGAAAGTCCAAGATGAAAATACGATAGTAATGTGATGACACGCTTTTTCCAAGGCCTACTTAGGGTGGTTCAGATTGAAGGGTTCCAGCCTTAAGGCATGCTATTCAAAACAAGCCCTATAAACTAGTCTCGAACCAATGTACATCACATCTTCCAGTGGACCTTATATAAACACGACAGAAAAAATGTATAATAATAGACTTAGGATCTGCTCAGACGGGTGACAGCAAGCTCAGGGTTCTGACAGACACTAAACCCCCGAATCCATTTCCACAATATCTTTCCGCTTATCATATCGATCCCACGCAAGACAGTTTTTTTCAAGCGATTTGTAATCGATCAGGTCACGGATCTCATCCCGATTTTCAATAAATTGTAAGGCAAGTCCCATGTTAACATGCCACCCGATATGGCAGTGCATCAGCCAAGCACCGGGATTATTGGTTTCAAACGCAATCAACAGCCATCCGCTAGGGGGTAGAACAGCCGTGTCACGACGAGGGGGGTTCGTCGTGATCAAGGAAGCATTAAACAGACCGGTCCCCTGAGCCAGAATAGAGAAATCATGACCGTGGAGGTGAATTGGATGCGTAACGGGAATCGTCGTGTTGATCATGAAATATACCCATTGGTTTTTTCCCGGGAGCTCGACTATACCACTTGTGTCTGAAAAGTCCATTTTGTTGTTGTAGATATTCAATAGAGTTGGGTCTGTCCAGCTGACGTTCAAGGATGTTGTGTTGAACTCCCAGCGGAACAGGTTCTCTGCGTTTTTGAAGACATTGACGTCTGTGCTGTTATCGTATGCCGGGGCCTCGACATTTTTCTTCACCCATGGGACAAGGCTAGCTAGTGGCTCATCAAGACAGTCGGATGTGGTGTGAAAGGCCGTTGTAGTTGGGATCTTAGCAGTTTTACCATAGTAGACTATGCCACGAATGTTTTCGCTTTGGTTGTTTGCAGAGCATAGACTCCCTGGCAATGCTCTCATCCAAAATGAGTCGGCCACGTGGTTCTGGTTTGCTGTGACAATTACATCATAGCGTTGTCCTATATCACGCTTGTTAGTAGGGCCATAGCCGAGAGCGTGAGTACTTACCCATTGCAATACTGATCACATCTGTTTTGTACGGTACGATTGGCACAAAGTCCATTGCAATCACCTCCAGCGTGTGGTTATCAATGCTGAACTTCCAATGCGTGTCAACGGCTGGGTTTACTAGTCGGAGCCGGTATGAAGTGCCCTCGTTCACTTTCATCTTGAAGCGATGTCCTGAAACGATGGTACTATTTTCATTTGGTTGGTAAACGTTGGTACCATTGATGAGGCCATTAGCCAAACTCGTGGGACCATTGACCTCTTCCGTCAAATAAAGTTCATCCACAGTCTGGTGAGTCCAATCACTCAAGAAGAGGGAGCCCATATCCACGTCATAGCTCGCAGTTGCTGGCCCGTTGATAATGATACCCCCATAAACGCCCTCCCAGGCCAGCAAGCCAATGTGTGAGTGATACCACGATGAGCCATACTGGACAGCTCGCCACTTATAGGTCATCGTCTTCCCGGGTGCAATGGGGCATTGTGTGATGGAGGGAACGCCGTCGTTAGGGTTCGTGTAATTCTGACGAATACCATGCCAGTGAATGGTAGATCCGTTTCTCTGTGCACCTAGACTATTTTTGACATGGACGACGACCCAATCACCCCAATTTGCAATGAGAGTCGGGCCAGGAAGTGTGCCATTCACTGTCCAAACTGGCCGTGGGACGCCATCTGGGGCAAGAACAACCTGTTTGATATCAAACCAATACTCCCGCGTTACACCGGTGTCAGGTACAACATTTTCATAGTCCGTGTTGACGTTATAATCGCACCAGACAGATCTGTTCTTGGGGGTGTTTCCTGGGCAAGGAGTATCTGCAGGCTTTCTACAGGGGCTCTGGCACTGGACATTGGAAGTGGTGTTGACGGATGCTGCTAATGACTCGGTTGACTGGATGGAGACTTTCGTGTACGCAGTGCCAATACTGAATATATGGACCACCAGGGCAATCAAGTGTAGCTTCATGGTGTGTCTTGTGCAATGTGTAATCGCAATTCAAAGTATGGGATTTCCAGCTCAGAGCAGAGTATCTGACCATTAATTGTTGCCTGGGGAAGTAAAATCAGACTTCCGGTGACCAGTTTATATAGGTTTTCTGGAGAGATCAAGGCTGAATTGTGTCTCGTTAAGGCTTGCCTTACTTGTCTCCAAGCAGGAATATTTCATCTTGCGAGGGGACGCTGGTCCCTCTGTGCCGGGCAAAGTGGATTGGGGGAAAGATTAGCCTTCAGGGAATGCATGACGAACTGGACAGGAACATTGACCCACAAACACGAACTTTTACAAGGAAGATGCGTTTGCCATTTTTAGAAAACTCGTTTTGATTGAAGATGACTCTCTGACTTGGTGCCCGGGCCTCGAGATGCGACGCCCTTTGAAAAGAAAAAAAGAAAAAGGAGTGATAGATCGGTTACCGGGTTTGTATGTGCCAATCGAGAAGAACGGAAGCTGGGGGCGTCTCGGTTCCTGGTTACAAGGTTATCTCCCCGAGTCCCACCGCATAGCATAAGCCCAATCCACTGCAACCAATTGCTTATCTCGTATCTGCATTGGCAAAGATTTATGCTATGAACAATTGTAGCAAGGATGATTCATTCTCAGGAGTTTATCACTGCGATGAGAGCAATGATTAAATACTTGCAATTATTGCGGCAAGACAAGCCCGTCACAGTTGCATTCGGCAATGTTGCCCGCGATCTTGCGTGGCTTGTCTCAGGGCTTGACACGAACTGGCAAGGATGTGAATGAACTCGTCGAGCAATGCAAAACTAGATTGCACCCCGTGAGCTTCATGAAACGTCAGCCTGGCTGAGGTGTCTAGCTCAAGGTTTGGAGCGCAGCCTGTTGGGGCGGAAAGCAGACGGGGAGGTTGCAAGGATGTATCCCGGTAACGAGGCCCACAATCTTGTTCAGCTCAAGTCCTGGATCCGGAACAATTTCATTATGTGAAAGGACATTAATTCCTCGTCAGCAGAGGATATATAGACTCCACTAGCATCCCGTATCCAATTTTGGATGAGCATGCCCATCCTCAACATCACTGCCTTATAAAGCCAAAGGAAGATATTCTGATCGAGGATCAGATCCTCGGAAATTGACACCGACATGCCTCTATTCCTCATCTTTCTCGCTCTTTCTGTCTGTTCAGCTGCACTGCAGAGTCGGCAGTCTCCCGTCCAAACTCCGTTCAGCTTGTATGGATACGGCAACAACATTGACGGTCTTTCAGTCTTCTATGCGGATGGTATCTAGCCTTGATGTTATATTTGTCAGTCTTGCGCTCACTTTCGAATAGGACAAGCTCAGCTTGGGGACATGTCGTTGTCGAATGCCACAGATAAGATGTCTTTTTCCGGTAGGCGTCGTCTTATCCTTTTGTTTTGTGGACACACTTCTGACCCGCGTTCAGTGACATATGGCTCCAATCCTCAAACCTGGATCGCCCGACCCCATTCCACATCGGGAAACGCCGTCCTCGTGGATGACGGCACGACCTCGAACAGCAGCATGATGGGCCTGAGCCAGAGCAGTGCGCTAGCAAATGCCGTTACATTCATCCCGAATAATAATGATTTGACTCCGGGAGGTACATCAGGAAACCTCACTGACGTGTGGACTCTATATGGAAGTTATGTTTTGCTGACGCCACCTGGCGCTAACTTTTACGCCAAAGCCACTGAGCGGGATGGCTGGTACCTTTTGCTATGGAGCCAGTCTGTCAAGGCGTCACTTGACTACGTCCCGATTACCTTAACCACCAATGCGCCTTTAGCTAGTAGCTCGTAAGACTCGGGCCTGCAGAGACAGAATGTGACACTGGCGCATGGAATAAACTGGTATAGAATTGTGGATGAAACCGACGTGGAGATTATTGGGTGATCATTACTGCTTTGTGGTTCATTTTGAATTTGGTACTTTATTTCCCAACCAAGAATGCCTGCTACGTACTTTTCGTCAGCTTCCAATACGTGGCGCGTTAATCCGCGTCATCTGCCGATTAGCGCATTCGGCATGTTTGGCATGATACAAATCAAGGTCTCTTGGTTTCTCGTTCAAAGTTACCCTGTCTGGGCAGTGGATGCTTAAGCGCTTATAATGGACTGGCATTCAGTTCGGATCGTGCCGTGGATAGCCTTTTAGATTTACGAGACTGATTTCAAGCAAGGCCGACTAGAGTCACCAGACCCGAATGTATTAGGTTCAATATGATGTTACCATATAGCATACGTAGATGTTCGGTCCCTGTGCCAATGCCGTGATGACAGTGCAAATAAATGATGAGACCCACCACATCGGCGGTTAGATCACAGCTATCTTTGGTATCCCTGTAACTTCTCTAGGCAGCCAGTATATCAAGAAAACCTCTAAAGATCTGAAAAGATCAATTAACTATGCCATCTCAAGGCTTCGTGGTCTTATCTCGGAAAGTCTCCGCGTTTCCACAAAATCCCCGCCAAAATCAAAAGCGGCTTAGAGATCTAGAGCTTTTGGTTCCCTCTTTCCCCTCTCTTGATGATAGCGTCTAATGGAATTCCATATTAGGTAACGCACTTTATCTTCTCTGCCTCCACTACCCCCACCCATATCGGATAGCGGAACATTGGGATTGAAGCTTCAAATAGCTTTTACGAGTCACATTAGCACGCTCCACGAACATCACAATGGGCAACACGCTATCGGCATACGGCCAGACCTCCCACGAGGTTGACCTGGGTCCCAAGGGAAAGATCCAAGGAATTCAATACGACAATAAAGCTCGACGGTATGCAGGCATCCCCTACGCGTTACCCCCAGTCGGCCCACATCGCTGGCGAAAGCCTCGCCCATTGCCAGCGGCGTACAGCTACTCTCAGCCAGATGGAACAGCATTCGACGGATCCACCTTCCGTCCAGTCTGTCCCCAAGAAGCATTTGCAGGCGGGGCAGAGAAAGACATAGGTCCAGATACGTACAGCGAAGACTGTCTATTACTCAACATTTGGACCCCTGTCGAGGATCCTGAGAACCCTGACAAGAAATGGCCAGTCGTGCTTTGGTTGCATGGAGGCTGGTTTCAGTTGGGCGAACCCCTCCAAGAAGTGGGTATGGACCCCACGGAGATGATCTCCACCGGGAAACTGAACGCCATTGTGATTGGAATCGGCTACCGTCTCAACATCTTTGGTTTTCTGGCTGGGGAAGCGCTATTGGAAGATAGCCATGGAGAAAGTGCCGGTAATTTCGGTCTGTGGGACCAGCGGTTGGCTATGGAATGGATTTACGAGAATATTGCGGCCTTTAACGGTGATGTGAACAACATTACCTTGGGTGGAAGGAGTGCTGGTGCATATGGTGTGCATGCGCAAGTACTCCATGAATTCCAGGTCGGATCGCAGCGCCAGCTCTTTCACCGATTTTATATGTACTCGAATGCCATTCCGGCACAACCCAAGGCACTTGCAGATGTTAATCCTCAATTTGAGGAGCTCTGTGGCTACTTCAATGTCCCGACTGATCTATCCGGTCCTCAGAAAGTTGATAAACTTCGTGAAATCGGTCACGAGGACCTGGTCGCAGCCATAAAACACCTCAAGAATCACACCTTCCGCCCTGTGACCGATGAACTGTTCGTTTTCCCCGGCTTCACTGAATACCACCGAAGTGGTGCATTCGCTGAGCAATTCCGGAAACGACGTCTCCGCGTCCTCATTGGAGAAGTCCTCAATGAAGAAACACTCTATGCGACGTATAACAGCCCCGAACCTAATCTCGATTCTCTGCGTTTGCAGTTATCGAACTACTATGCCCCCGGAACCACCGATCGCATTCTGAAATCATACACCTTACCTTCAACTACTGACGCAGAAGAATGGAAGAATGTCTACGGAAATATCATTGCAGATGGCCAAGTCCGAGCACCGTCTCGCTGGCTGGTCAATTCACTGTTCAGCCATGGGATTCCTCTACGGGATATCTGGCGGTACCGGATTGCATACAGGTTATCCTTTATCACGGATAAGGTTGCGCCACGGGCCTTTGGTGTATCTCATGCCATGGATAAGCCATTCTGGAAGTGAGTAATTGATTCTGATTTGCGAAATTTCATTCTTACTGATACAAGCTTACAGCTTTTCCATCCTTCATGGTCCGACGAATGAGGAGAGAGAACTCATGGAAGGATGGATTCAATCATTTGTGGCATTTGTCAATGATGATTCGGAGTACGATTTCGGTACCAATGAGATTGACGAGATGAAAGTCGCTACTTCTGGGGGCAAGATTGAGATTCAAGAAGACCAGCGATGGGGCGAGCTAGTTAAGCTGGGAGAGATCTTTGCCAGTGATGCTTAATGCTATAGAGATTAGAATGGCTCATTCAAGCCATTATAGAGACCATCCAATCCCTGTATAAGCAATTAAAATAGAAGAAGAGAAGAGAAAGAGGTTGACTCGTATTTGCTTCAAAATATGCAAGCTAATGATGATAGTGATGGTGGTAATGATGATGGTGAAAATGGTGATGATGCTGAATGACCCCCGAGCCACCAGTCGCCGCCAAAGAACCATCAGGAATAGTTGGTTCCCGATGCGAAGAGAGCATCTGACAGAGAGCAGCTTGCTCTAGCGCGGGCTCTGACTCTTCATCAAGCTCCGGAATAATTGAACCGGGTATCTCGAAAGGGGGATGCCGAGTTTGAGTATTTGCTAGATCGAGAGAAGCAATGTTGTCCAGGTTATTACCCGAAGGTGGGATCCACGGATAGTAGCGGGGACCATGCATGGGGACTCGCTGAGCCATGGTTCTGGGATTATAGTACTCTGTTAACATGTTTGGCTCGGACTCGTAGTTGCGATCTGGTAGAGCGAAAGATGGTCCTTCCGAGGCGGATTCCCAGACCTGGTCCTGGTAACCTTGGGATAATGAGTAATCCGGTAGTTCTAAGCCTGGCTCGTTGGAATTTTGAGTGCTGTGGGTGCTCATGTTATCCACTCCATAGACGGATGCGCTATGGATGCTCATGTTGTCCATGCCGTATATGGGCATTTGTAGAGTGGGATCCTGAAAAGCTAGCGAGAGATTGGCAGATGGCATGTCAAAGCTTTGGATATTCGTCAATGAGCCTGCTGCCATCGGATATGACATGTTGTTAAGATGACTGATGGAGTTGGACCTTGACGCTGTGGACGAAACCGTTGCCGGGGCGGTCGAACGAGGCTCGTTAGAGGTTGAGTCGGAATTCCTCAACAAATCCTTTGAAAGTCTCCTCCATCGATTTCGACAAGTCAGAGGTGGACGACCTGGAAGCCCAGCAGAGATAGCAGCCCATTTATGTCCGAGCTCCTGGACTTTCGCTGCTAAATACTGGTCTTCCTCGGGCGTCCAATTTCTGAGTCTATCTCTCACTGATGGATTTAGGATATCATTGTATCTTTTCGCACACTGGTCATCCTTTCGACCGTCGATGAGAAGAGCTATCCATATGTCAACATCGGATAAGCCCATGCAACCTACCTCACTTACCAATCTCCTTCCAAGCGGGCCCTAACCGCTTATGAGCCGCAAGTAACAGCTCATCCTCCTCTTTCGACCAACGACCCTTCCGCAAAGCCGGATCCAATGAGTGAAACCAACGTTTTCGACAGTCCTACCTATCTTTAGCTTTGTTTTATTTCAAAGAGACGGGCTGGACTGACCTTATTGGATCGCCCTGGAAGGTGTCTTGAAATCTCATTCCAGCTCCCACCCTCCTTGCCCTGATCACTCAGATGCTGTACAAGGGAGATGAGCCTCTCATCCTCCAGCTTTGACCATATGCGACGAGTTGTAGCGGCAGAATCAGAAGCCATCCTGATCTACGTTGGAATTGACTTGGGTGATGACTTCCCCGCACTATCGCCTATCGCGCCATCGCTTTTCGCTTATATCAGCCTTATCGCAGGATTGAGTGGCTCTACCGAAGCTCATACTCTCTGCAGACATCGTTGAGAGAGAGAGGTTGAAGTTCTCACTTATTTTGGCCTGGGATGATATGATACACTGATCTACAAATGCTTGTGAGTGATTATACAACGAAGCGTTCGTCAAGTCATGCATTAACCCGGGAAATACACATAATCTATTCATGTCTAGGGATTCCTGGCTACGATTGATTTGGATAAATTCAGTTGATCTGATTCGAGCATATTGCAACTGTAAGGAACAAAATTGCAACCTTTGGAAGGTCGAGGGGGAAGTTAGATCCCGTTGTTGACGATCTCTAGATAGCTCGGGCCCTAGCGGCGTCATTACACTATCAAAGGTTAAATTACTATGCAAAATCTGTACCCGTAGACAAATTTTTGCGTTTTGGCTGGCATTTGTAGAGGAATTGCATCCCGAGGTTCTTGACGGCGATCTTTCCCTCTAAGCTCCCAGTAAGTCGGTGTTGGATCGGATTTCAATAACCGAGTCTACTCAATAGCCGTCAAACCCCGAGTCGGAGCTATATCGTTGCAATAGCCGTAACAGACGACGAATGAAGTATACTATTTATTTGAAATGTTCCTGGGGAAAGAGTTTTCTCCTCATTTTCTTCCCCGCAACTCCGTTTTGTTGTGTTCTCCAATTCCCAGCATCATATATACATCCTCAAGATGGGCAAACCAATCGTTCTCCAGCTGGGCGACGACATCCGCTGGAACCACGACCAATATGCCAAATTCAAGGACCAATTCGAGATCAAGCGCTCATACAGCATGTCGCGACCGGAGTTTATCCGAGCGTTGAAAGAGCGACAATTTGGTGATTTTGTTGCGATGTACCGACCTTTCTGGAACACCGGTGGTGAGATGGGCAACTGGGATGAGGAATTGATTTCACTACTCCCGGATTCATGCAAGATCTTCGCTAGTGCTGGGGCTGGGTTTGACTGGGTGGATACGGCTGCTTTGGCCAAGAAGGGTATGTTTCGAGAACAATCGCACGTTGCCCGTTCTGTACTGATTCGGTTCTTTTCTACAGGTGTTATCTACTGTAATGCTGCCGCTGCTTGCACTGAATCCGTGGCTGACGCAGCTATCTGGCTCGTGATCTCCGCCTTCCGACTTTTCTCGTGGTCGGCGATGGCAGCTCGCGCTATCGACGCCGATCAATTTGTAGATGCCAACCGCAATCTTGCCATGGTGTCTCATAACCCAAAGGGTCACACACTTGGTATCATCGGTTTTGGCCAGATTGGTCGTCGAACTGCAGAGAAAGCATACAAGGCTCTTGATATGAAGATCCTCTACCACGATATTGTCCAGATGCCAAAGCAGCTGGAGCAAGTTTCCAACGCTACTTTCCACAAGTCTATGGACACCCTTCTCGCCGAGTCAGACTGCGTAGTGGTGGCTACTCCTTTTAGCGGAGAGACTCTATTGAATGCCTCTTTGCTAGCAAAGATGAAGCACGGATCCCGTCTTGTCAATATCGCTCGAGGAAAGCTCCTAGATGAAGCGGCTCTGGTCGACGCTCTGAAGAGAGGTCAGCTCTCTTCCGCAGGTTTGGATGTACACTTTAATGAGCCGCATGTCAGCCCCGAACTGGCTAAGATGAAGAATGTGGAGATACTGTCACATAATGCCGGTGCTTCTTTGGACTCGCACATTGGGTTTGAGCGTCTGGGGATGGAGAATATCGTTTCGTTTCAGAAGACTGGAAAGGCTGTGACGCCAGTAAATGCTCATTTGATTAGCAAGACATCAAAGCTCTAGATATTGTTGTTCTCAAATCGAATGGTCAGACGTCTCTAATCGCTAGGCCCTAATCGCTAGGCTTCCAAGTGGTATGTAATTACATTAACTACCTTTTTATTCTTGATTGGCATGTAAAGAGAGCGAAACCAGGTATATACTAGAGTAGGTACCGGGTCTCTACTTGCTATTTGACTGCCAGGCTGTACCCGCCCAGGTACTACTGTTTCGAGGTTTAGGTGGATGCCCCGAGGCCCATTGATTCACAGTTCTTTACTAAGAGAAAAAAAACCCCGTCCAAAAGACTAAGAAAAGAAGCCTATCAGCAAAGTGATTGCAGTCCTGTTGAGACAATTGACAAGATATGAGATAAGTGGAATCGAGACACGAAAGGAACGTCCAGATATTTGGATCATAAGTGAACAAAAGAAAAAGAAATCACTTGGACAAGCAAGGAGACCCAAGCCCAGATCGAGAAATCCCATGCACACTAAAAGACTCATGACACGAAACTCCATGGTCACCCTAGCTCCGAGGGGAAACGATAACAAAGAGAGAACGCCGAAAAAATAATGAATGGAAAGAAAACATGCAACGCCGAATCTCCACGCCTGATCACTTGAAAGATATCTCCCGAATAATTCTTTGCGTTAGGCAAAGGACAAGAACTTTAAAAAAACAAATATCACTAATATAGTCACTCTCCGCATGCCAGTCATGAGTACTCAATACGTCCCACGGCCAAGGCCTCGTTGTGTGACTTTAGCCTCGTCGTCTTCGCAGCCCAAATTCCTCTTCTTGGAGCTCTCGAATAAGACGCAGACTCTCGGCATCCGTATCGTCCTCACCGATGAAATGTTTCGCATGCTTTAATTGGTGGGGGGACAATGAGGTGGGCGCGTGACGCTCAAAATGCCTCTCGACCATTGGGGAGCTTTTCTTTGCGTGAGAGGATGACGGACGCGACGAAGGCTTCTTGGATGAGGTCGCAAATGGAGTTGTTCGACGGACAGTATTCGAGGTTGGAATACTGACCGGCTTGTTCACACGATTCGCAGTTGCTTCTGGCGCGGATCGCTCACCTTGTCGGGGCAGATCACCATGTCGAGGTTGGCGAGACGAATGGCGGGAGCTCGAATTAGGTGTGTGGAGCGCATTGGGCGCCTCGGCCTCAACGGATGCTAGTGCCTCGCCATCCTGCACCACGTCCATTTCGTCGGCCAGCGACGTGGGTGGGGACACTAGGGAGGCGGTCGGTTTTGACGAGACCGACATAGACGTAACATCCTTTCCTTCAATCAGATCGGCATGGAACGCGGGTGGCGATGCGTATAAAGCTTGACCGATGTGTGTCCCACTCTCTTTGATAGGCTGGGCTTGAAGCTGATCCATGACGCCATAGCCAATGGATTCGTCGTCGTAGTGTCTGACTGGCATCGCGTGTGCCACTATGGCCCCGCCTGTATTTTGACTGAAGAATGCCGAGTGTGCAATTGGAGACGTGCTCTCCTGTTTGGCTTTCTTGCAAGCGGCAGCCATGGCGTCATCTTCATTGGGACGGGGTCGCTTTGCGGAAGCAGTGCCACGAGGTTTTGATCGTTCTTGAGCTTTGATCGGGTCAATATTCCCGCGATCATCGTGAATGCAACGACGCTATTTACTGGGTCAGTTGCAAATCTCATGGTAGGAATTAAAATGGTGTTACATACCTTGCTTTTCCGACAGTCATCGCATGCCTTGCTTCGTCCCTTTTTACTACCGTTGGCGCCGTCAGGACTCGCGTCATTGAGTCTATTGGCAGCGGCAGTGGAGGTACCCATGATTGCCGAGTGGAAGGCTGGGCCATCAAAGTGTTCCAAGCCAGCCACGCCGCTTCCTTGGAATCCAGCCTGAGAAGCAATTGCAGCCAAGGAGTTCAATGCAGAAACCGCATCTTGGGCGAGAGAAGATGGGGTGCTGAGGCCCGATCCAGGGGCAAATCCATTCATTGCCATTTGTCGACCTTGCATCCATTCATTCGGCTCATCCTTATGGCGGCACCTGATGCGTCGTCTGCGACAAGCATCGCAGGCAACGCGTTTCGGTCCAAGCCCCGAGCCGCGTGGCGTAGACCGCGGCTTAGGAGTCGTTGGCTCTTGAGTAGGAAAATCAGCAATGGGACCAACCGGAGCAGGCGTTGCGCTTTCAGATGGCGCGATGGTACCGCAGCTCGCAGGAGGCACGGGTGTGGCGGCCTCCTCCATCGGCCGTTGAACAGCTTGTCTTTCAGCATAGGTGCGCTGGCCGTCTGCATTACGTTCAGAGCGTCGACTAGGCCGACCAGCTGGTCGTTTTTCTGCAAGAGACACCTTGGGATTGCTTTCGATCACCCCTGGACGAGTCCACTGGGGGGCTTTCTCGTTACCACGTTTCCAGGCGACCCAAACACCGAATCTGCGAATCATATCCACTGGATCTCCGACTCCCTTAGGAATAGAGCGCCTGACCGCATTGCGTACTTCGATTGTCACTGCATCGACGTTATAGGAGCTTGCAATGAGTGCTGTTCGCAGAAGATACTTGGTCAACTCTGGCAAGCCCTCTAATTCGGCCTGGGAGTAGAATCGGGCGTTGTAGTAAGGGGAGCTAGGAGGCTCCTGGTTGGCACGCTCTCCGAACTCATAATAGATAGGGTAGTGCCGGTGAAGTCGAAAGTTCTCATCTTGGGCGAAGGCCTCCAGCACATTTTGCGGAATCGGGTCATCCTCCAGATACTTCAATGCCGTGTACCATTGAATCTTCTGGAAGAAAGGATATCTGAATTTCTTGGGAACTTTGGTCTCCTTCTCGATATTGAGGATTTTAATCTGCATCCCGTAGTTCAATCTAGTGAGAAAATTGCCACCGATGACTAAACTGTTTTCTGGTGTCCATACAGCATGGATCCAGCCCGACGGAATAAGCATGGTGTCCCCCTCTGACAGATCCACACGATAGCACTCTTTGGTTTGATTGCCAAGGAATATTGAATCTTGTGCGGGAGAATTGCACCACTCCTCGTACTTCTTGAGATGCTTGTCCTTCGGAGGGATAAAGAAGAAAGTCTTCTTACCCTTGAGAATATGGTAGTACACTGAGGATCCACCAAAATCGATATGAAAGTCGGTATAACAATCGGCGACAGACATAAGGCAATAGAATTGGACCTTGGGGTAGTCGCCAATGGCCTTCAATTCCTCGGGCCATACGGCATCTTGAAGATCCAGATCGCGTACAACCTTAGGCCGCTTTATAAGCCGGCCTAGCTTGCTCTGTGACACTTCCAGGCTGATAACATTTCGAACAGGCTTGTTGGGCTCAGAGCTCTCATAGTAGTCTGCCCATTTCTGCATGTTCCACCTCTTGTCTTCTCCTTGCTGTGACTTGACATCAATGACTTCAACCCTCTCCTCAGGGCCATAAAGCTCAGCCACCGCCCGGACAGTGAGGCCTTGAGGTATCACCATGTCTAGTTGATCTTGGCCACACTCAGGCTTTTCCTCAACTTCAATTTCCTGTTCAGAAACATGTTCAAGTAGGTCATCGAACATTTCCTGTGTTGCAGCTTCATCTACCAAAGCCTCTAAGTCTGCGTCGACTTCAGGAACGGGGTCACGGCTATTCCAGCAGGCAGGAATAACAACAGGCTCGTTCCAACCATTGCCTCGCTCAAAATATTCTGCCGTGACCAGCTCTGGCTTCATGCGAGGAAAACTCTCTGGCTGGAACTTAATCTTCCCTTGACGAATAGGTTCCAAATAATGGTGCTCTACTGAATCAGTGGCCGCCTTGACGAGTCCCTGGTTCAGACCAGCATAATCAATTGCTGTACGAGCACGCGAGGACTTCCGCACAAAGGTTGTTTGACCATGGGTTGAGCGGCATGCACGGCATATGAATTTATCGACGGTGCGAACCTCCCGGTCGTTCTTGAACCCAGCACAGACGATGTGGAACCAGCGTTTGCATCCGTCGCAGCCAATCCAAGTGTCCTCATCTTGCTCCTCGGTTTCCACTGGGATCCGCACCAGGTGACATGCAGAGCAGCTTGCTTGATTCGTATCGCTCCCCTCCTCTTCAACTTTGGGAGTGAGATCAGCTGTTTTGTGAGGCAAAGGTTCTCGTCCCTCGGTAGATTGGCGTTCACCATATCCAGCGTAACGAGATACGTCCGCTGGAGGGCTATCCTCATTCTCATCTTCCCAGACAATCGGAGGCAACGTCCCCGAGCTAGTGGCAGGGCGTACGCCGCGAATCACAGGACGCGAGAGAAATGCAGACCCGTCCGAACGAGACCTCATGCGTGATGGTAGAATGCCATCCTCTTGAAGCAGGGTTTTCCCATCCTCTAGGCCACCAGAAACGCCGACAAAACCCACTCGATTGTGCCGTATTGAGCCAGCGCCGTGGTTGTGATAGGTCTCGTCAATGCTGACCCGTTTCTTGTTTTCGGAGTGGAAATTGGTGGGTCGAGCAAAGTTGAGCAAAAGCTCCGCGTCGGTTTGCATGCTGTCTATGAAGGTGGAGTGGGGATTGCCCTGCGGAAATCTCCGAGAGTGGTGCGGTGACGGGTCTCTCTCTGACCGAGGACGTTTGGCCGGTCGTTCGGAATGATTATCGGGAGGTATTAGGGATGCGATCGAGCGAGAATTTGGAGAAGGTGGTCGATAGGAAAGGGGAACGAAAGTCGGACTTGTTGCGAGGGCGATGGTCGCAAGCGTGTCGATGGTGGAATTTGACCGGCCATGGCCCGACCGGTGATGGGAACCGGCATCGGCAGCGGTATTCCGGGTATAATTTGATGGACGCTGGTCACGGTCAAGGCTTGTAGCCCGAGTGACATTACGCTCGGCCCACGAGGCGAGAAATTCGGTGGTGGAGGGAGTGATAGGTTCGACAGCGCGTCGCGGCGGAGGGGACGGAGTGCGGTATTGTGGAGGGCGCTCGCCCAAAGGAGTTAAAAAGGACGCAGCGCTCATCATTTTCGCTCATTCAGAGTGTATCCAGTAGAGGGAAATAGAGGTAAACGGGTTGACAGTGCGAGAGGATGCGCTTGCGGTAGATGGGTGCAAAGCGGGGATGTTTGACCACACGGACTAGCGAGAGGCCGTCGCAGGAGGAAGGAAAGTCATTCCTGGCAGGAGGGCATTCGCACGAAGGACCGCGAGATGGACTGGGCTTCTCGATGAGACGATTGGCGACGGTGGGAGGGCAGATGAGGGTGACAAGTTGCGGATGCGCTCGAGTTGAGGGGGTTCAGTCGAGCGGCGGGAGGACAAAGGCGCCGAGAGTCGCGCCGCAGTCCGCGGGCAGAGAGGGAAAGCGAATCGAGCGCAATCCAGTCTGCAGGAGTGAGCTCCTGCGAACTGGATGACAAGCTGAGTATATGGGGATGGATGGAGCGTTTCTGGGGAGGTGTGGGTGGTGGTCGGAGGGTGGAAGATGTCAGGGCGTGAAGGAGGGAGAGTGGTAGGCCGAGTAAGTTCGCAAGGTATGTACGCGGGACAATCTGCGGACTAGACGATAGGAAATGGCGGTTTCGGTCCTCCCCATACCAGAATAATCAATTTTATATTATTCTTTGTGAGAACAAGGTTGTGCGATTCAATTGCGTCGAAAGAGAAGAAGACGAAAAGCCTCTGTTGAAATCCCCGACTTAATTCTACTTGCGACGAGAGCGTCGTTCGCCGAGCTGTGTCAGTATTACAATACAGTACTAGACGTGGGGAGCGCATGTGACTTGAAATGGTGGAAGTAGAGTGGTAATTTGGTAAGGTACGGTAAAGAGATTACCTCATCACATCAGACAGCGGAGGTGGTAAATTGAAGACCGCAAATTGTTAGTCAGACACTTAGCTAACCACGTTGGGTGTCATACGGTGTATTGACATTTCATTCGAGCTATGTAGGACACATGTATATGCTACCATTATAATTCTACGTACGGGAAGGAGCCGGCTCAAAGGGTATCATTCTTAAATTCGCTTCGGATTGAGTACAGCATTCCTATCCACAATCAAGAAGGTGGCCTATATAGTGTGAGTAACTACACACCTGGTAGATCCCAAGGCACAGTATGTATATACACAAAGATATAGCAGCACTGCGCCTTGACCTGCACGTGTAGTACCATAAGCATGATATTTTAAGGCAGAATAGCTATATATATCTAGTCCCCAGGGTAGTTACATAGCCTACATACTTGCTTAAGGACCTACTCATATACATGAATGTTGTGCTCGATAATATTACAGTACACTCTGAATTACAGTACCGAACCTTACCAAATACGGTTAGCGTGATGTTCGATTAACGATTCCCCGAAGAGCGGTAGTCGCTAAGCCGAATTCGGTGGCGCCAAGAACTTCTCTCGTGCATTCTGCGTGTTCTTGTTCCTCTTTGCGATCTCCTCCTACCACCACCACGGCCCTCGATACCCTGGGTATCTCACTCCTCACCTATTCTTCAACTTCATCACCTTTATTAAATCTCTCTGAGGATGAGCCGGAAGCTCGCTCCCGAAGCAAATCGGTATGTGACTTTTCCTGCCCCTCCCCATCTCCGATGCTCATCCGCCACGGTGCGAACGAGATGTCATGTGCTCATCGGGCATTGCATCCATCGAACTTAGAATGCTAATTTGGATTGTTTTTTGCAGGATTCTCTTCGTCAAGAACCTTAAGTACGTGTCTTTGCCATCCGCCGCAGCCCGCAGATCCCCCAGATTCATCACCTTCCGACAGAAGATCATTTGCAAATGAGAATGGACGGCTGACTTCATCCCATTAGCTACAACGTAACGGCAGAGCAACTCTTTGACCTTTTCGGCAAATTTGGGCCTATCCGGTAAGCCATCGAAGCTTTAACTGATCGTCGGACTTTTGTCGCTGATTTCCTCTTCTTTTGGTAGGCAAATCCGCCAAGGTATCGCCAACAACTCCAAGGGAACTGCATTTGTTGTCTACGAGGACGTACACGACGCCAAACAGGCATGCGATAAGCTCAATGGCTTCAACTTTCAGAACAGATACTTGGTTGGTACGTCTACAAATAACCGCTCGAGCTTGAATGGGTCACAAAGTGACCGGAGTTTGGAGACTGGAGACTGACAGATGTTGTAGTATTGTATCACCAGCCGGAAAAGATGCTCCGTTCGAAAGAGGATCTTGCAGAGAGACAGGAAAACCTCGAACGACTTAAACAGCAGCATGGAATAGAATGATGTGACGATATTCGGCTCTAATGATGCCCTCTGCAAGCATTTGGCTGCGCATGGTGTTACAACGACTCCAATTCTATCGAATTCGGCTTGGTTGAGGGGTTACCGGCGTTTGTTTATTCCCTGGGATTTCTTCTTTATTTTCGACCTTCAACTTTCAGAGGGTGACGAGGTTTGATGGGTATTATTTCTTGGTCCTCGTTCATGGTCGGGGAGCTTTAGTGAGAGCCCGTTCGAACGAGAGATTGATTTCTTTTCTTTGTGCATTCTATTATCATATCCTTATTTCTGGTGATCACAATATGAATTCCCCCACTTTGCTCAGCAAACCACGTTTCAAAAGACCTTTCGCATGTCTGGGTGATCAACGATCGCCCATCAGTAAAATGATTCCAATCGATTCTCTGGCATAGAAACCAGGGTCCTGGGCGGTAAGGCCAAGCGTTTACTACAGCGATCCACCTTTCTGCAGACAGAAGGACCCTATCCGCTTGTTATCGCAATGCCCTCGGCCTTTGAATTCTGTAGGTACCTAGGAAGGCAATAGCAAACGAAACGCATATACACCACGACTTTGTATAGATCTCCTCTATGTACTGTCTTCTTCGCTATCCCCTTATATCCCAGAATAGATTATACATCGTCGAAGGGGGCGAAGCCTGATCTAGCCGTGTCGATCCCGTTGCGGGGGCGGACACCGCCTCCAGGCAGCTTGCTGCAACCTCATCGCTTCAGACTCCGCTTTGTCTCTGCCTCTGCGCCCTCATCGTACGCTTCCTCCTCTCATCCTTCATATTACCCGGTACATTCAAATCGATGCTTTGCGTATAATGTGCTGCCTCGGTGCCCAATAAGCCCCGGAGGCTCCTCACATGAACTTTGTTACACAACAGGGCCGCAATCTCATACAAATCATATTTCCTTGTTTTTGATCGATCGGACATCAAAGACTGATCCTACACCTTGCATCAGTAGCTATGCACGTGGATCTCGCCACATCGATCGCTGTTAAGGCGTCTACTACCCTTATCGCTGCAACTTCTCTTCCACAAGCATCGCAAACACCGCAACAACACATGTTATACTATCATGGTGCCACCGTGACCGGGATGGGAGAAGATCCGAATGGAGAAGGTGGTGAATGCAAACTTCTTGGGCCTTTCTCGCTTATTGTCCAGGCCGCCCTTGGAGCGCTGGCGCTGCTGTCGTTGGTCTTTAAGCGATGGAGAGAACGGCCTCAAAGGCCAATCAAAGTGTGGGCATTTGATGTTTCGAAGCAAGTATTCGGCTCGTTCATGCTTCATCTGGCAAATCTTCTCATGTCCATGTTCTCGGCGGGTCAACTGGAGATTCGGATGGACTACAAACCGAACCCCTGTTCCTTTTACTTGCTGAATCTTGGGATCGATGTGAGTGTGACCCCATATTTCATTATAAAATCAAGCTAACATGTCTCCTAGACCACTCTCGGTATCCCAATATTGATTGTTGCGCTACGAATTTTGAACTTTATTGCATCCTACACCCCTCTCGCCAACCCCCCGAATCGATCCAGTCTGGGAATTATAGCCACCCGCCTCGTGCATCATGGTGGTTCAAGCAATCCATCATCTACTTCCTGGGCCTGCTCAACATGAAAATATGCGTATTCTTCCTAATACAGCTGTTTCCATTTATTATCAAGGTTGGGGATTGGGCTTTGCGATGGACAGAGGGAAACACTGCCCTGCAAATCACCTTTGTGATGCTTCTCTTCCCCGTTACTATGAACGCCATCCAATATTACATTATCGACACGTTCATCAAGAAACCCATGCCTCGCGACTTCTTTGCCGATGATGCTTCTCGCGGTGATGCTGTTGCGGATGAAGATCTTCATCGGGAAGGTCTTCTCGCTGGTATCGACGAGGCCTACTCGTCCGATTCAGAAGATGATTCTCCCCCGGGGAAGAAATCCCCCCTTCCGGTATCACAAACCAAGATTTCCATCCAGGAATCCGAAGTTAATATGGCTGAGGACCATTCATCACTCCCTCCTTATCACCCTCCTAGCTCCGGTTCCAGCGGCGGTCGTCGCGAACATGATGGACAATCCAAGTCAGCCGCATAGGTGTACCACTGGGGGGATCCTCTGCTGGCGTTGGCTTTCATTTGCGGATATTGCTTCCTTTTCAATCAGCGTTAATGTTCTATGTGCACACGAATACTCTTTCCAAATACGAATAGCTTGCTTGTCTTGTATTTTTTATTACGCATGAAACATAACTTTAGATCTTGGGAGATGAGACCATAAATCGGAAAATATAGCATTCTTTTTTATTCAAATTTTATTACTCAAAAAAGCTGCTACGAGGCTTTGAGATTGGAGCTGCCAAATCAGCTTATTATTTGAATATAGAGAATGTGAGGGCGTCATCGTGACCCAGATAATCCTGTTTGTTGCCTAAGGCACAGTTTTTATTGACCGTCTCCTACACCGCCCTATTTTGCCGGCTTTGCAAAAATCAGAGCGAAAAATATTCCCATCCCGCTCCGCAAGCTTCAGACTGCCGATCGCAGCGGTGAATTGTGACGGAACAAGAGATTTTAGTCTCTATACGATACCATAATACTGTGACGCCGCCATGCCTCCAACTCGGCTGAAGGAAAAGACCAAGCGGACGGCCGCTTCGTCTGAAAAAACTCCGATGAACCAACAACCGGTTGACGATATTGACATGGACGATGAGACTAGCTCGGACGAGGAAGACCTACCTGAGAAGGACGAGGCTGAACTCAAGCTGGAGCGCATGCTCTTTGGCGATGATGAGGGGTTCATGGGCGCATTGAAAAACCAGCAGGAGCGGGCGGATGCTATGCAGCTTACCTTGCATAGTGATGAAGAGAGTGGAAGTGGTGAAGAGGGGGAGGAAAGCTATGAAGACAATGTTGAGGACATGGCAGATGCAGATGTATGCACTCTATCGAGCGTCCATCTTGGTTTAATCTGCGAAACAATGCTAACTGGATGGGTTGTTGGTAGCTCTTTTTCCTCGACTCAGGCGTCGCACCCGAAACTACAGATCTCATTCCTTCGCCGGAGACTCTATCCGACGATGAAGACGACGAGTCTGCTCCTGCAATCTGGCACGACAGCGACGATGAGCGCCTTGCCGTTTCGCTTGCAAGCCAGGCCAAGCTCCGCAAATTGCGTGTGGCAGAGTCCGAAGATATCATCAGCGGCAAGGAATACACTCGCCGATTGCGCAGACAATTTCAGCGCATGCATCCCACTCCCGAGTGGGCGAACCCAGAGCTGGCTGCTTTGCGCCGCAACGCAAATTCGGACTCTGATGCCAGCGGGGAAGAGATGGATTCTGATGAAGAGGATGAGCAATTATCTATGCAGCCACTGGCTAAGCTGCTTCAGAACACCACCGATCTCACTCGTGTTGAAGACAATGCCCGCTCCGGCGGCAAGCGCAAGCTCCGACAGGAAGTTCTGGATATCCAACGTCTCAAGGATGTTGGCAAGGCACAGCCGGTAAGAGACTTTCTTAATGCATCTATACAGGAATTTTCCTAGCTAACGAATAACTCTTCACCAGTCCTCCGTTGACTCACTCAACTTCCACCCACACTACCCACTCCTGCTTTCTTCTGGACCTGCAGCAACTCTCTTCATGCACCACATATCTCCCTCAGCACCATCCCCCAACCCCCTCCTGACCTCCCTGCACATCAAGCGCACCCCAATCCACACATCTGCATTTGCCCCGCCCACGGGTAACAAAATTTTTGCATCTGGCCGACGACGATACTTCCACATTTGGGATATGGACACGGGCAAAGTGGACAAGGTCAACGGAACAGCAGACCGGAAAGAAGAACAAAAGTCCATGGAGCGCTTTAAGCTCTCTCCATGCGGCCGCTACGTCGGTCTGGTCGGCACCTCTCGCAAGGGCGGTGGTCTGATCAACATTCTCGACTCCAGCACCGCCCAATGGATCGCGCAGGTACGCGTCGACGGACGTGGCGGTGTTGCAGATTTCGCCTGGTGGTCCGATGGCGAGGGAATGACAGTAGCCAGCAAGAACGGTGAGATCTCAGAGTGGGATGGTCGACTACGCCGCGTTGTGGCTCGTTGGCTCGATGCCGGTGCCGTCGGTACTACCGTCCTCACATTGGGTGGTCGCTCAGGTCGTACCCAGCTCGGTGGAGATCGTTGGGTTGCTGTCGGTAGTTCCAGTGGTGTGGCCAACATCTATGATCGCCGCGACTGGGCTGCTGCGTATGCGAACGCCTCACAGGCTGAGAAGGATGGCCCTTCGCAGGCTGGTATTCCTCGGAACCCGACTCCGGCGCGTGTGTTGGATCAGCTTACCACTCCTATTAGCCATCTGGTTTTCGCTCCTGATGGCCAGATGCTGGTTATGGCTAGTCGCTGGAAGCGTGATGCCCTCAGACTTGGTAAGGATCTTCTTGCTTCCATTTGCTTTGGAGTTATCACTAATTACCTTTATAGTTCACCTTCCATCTTGTACAGTGTACCGCAATTGGCCCACCTCTAACACCCCACTGGGCCGTATCACCTCAGTGGCCATTTCGCCAAATTCCGAGCAGTTGGCTGTTGGAAATGAACAGGGCCGTATCCGGCTCTGGGAAATTAGAGGATAGATATAAGCTTGGTTTCTTCTTACCCCAACCTTGGAACCTCTTGTCATATTTACTGTATATCCTGGAGTCAATAAAAAGCATACTCATGTGTTCCCGAAGACCGTGCGAACCTTGGAAAATATATATTTGTGAAGCATACTTACTCTACCGTGCAATATGAGCCCTTGCCTCCTGCGTACCATTCGCAAGGTTACATAACTTATGAGGATACTTTTATAAGTACCTGGAGGTAATCTTAGCCCCTTGGAAGTTTGCCAATCTTGACATGCCCAAGCTGTGGGGGAATTGCTTGTAAAGACTCATTGTTCGTCTATTGCAAGGTATGTATAAGCAAGATTTTCCCATTCCAACATGGAGATTCTAGAGAAAATGAGATCCAAACACGCACAAGCCAAATACTCAATCCAAAAATGAAGTAGATCGCAAGCTAGGACATGAAACGTGCCAGGGGTAAGTTAAGTCAGTTGAAGTCATGGTATCATGCCGTTCATGGCTGTGACTTCTGCAAAAGCAAAGTAAGAAAGAGGAGCGTGATAATAGGAGCCAAACAGAATCTATACTGTCCGTTAAAGGATAAATCATGTAAAGCAATGGAACACAAAAGGGGGTATATAATCAGCGCAGAGGGGAATCGTGACGAAGGAGAAATCAGCATGGTATACGTAAAAAGTGGTCAGGTGAATGGGCGGGAGAAGTTACTCTCCAGGTCCAGAGGAGCCCCATCGTGGAATTCGGCCCGGTTCACCAATCCAATCTTTGATGACGCAGGTTGCCTTATCTGGGCCCTGGCATACCTTGCGCCGATTGAGATGCTTGAACCGAGGTCCAAGCGGGCCGTTCACATAGTGATATTGTCCGGCGAATCGGTACTGGCGAGTATCTCCAAGTGGGTAAAATTTGTCCCCCCAGTGGCCTCTGAAGTTGAACCATTCTGTAGGGGATGTGGGGGTAGCAGTAGATGCGCGTAGTGTATCGTTGGCATAGTCATATGTATATGCATGCGAGTTGAGTAAGGGGTCCCAAAGTGGACCTCGGTCCGTGACGTCGTGGAGTAGACCCCATGGAAGAATGTATGGGTGTACGTCTGGTGTGGCGTACATTGCATGGCTTCCCTCGGCGGAATAGATGACGGGCTATGAAAGGTCAATATTAGTTTTGTTATAGGACCAGATACTTCGAGGTTGATTTACTCGTTGCCCGATCTTCTCCACTGCTTCATATCTATAAGCCTCGCCCGCCGTGTGGGCGCTGAAAAACAAGGCCTTGGGCTGGCCATGGTGGAATCGCACGAGACAGTGCTCCCAATCACCGACATGGTTACCGAATCGCACGTTGACAACCGAATTGCCCAAGTTGAAACTGTAGAAGAAGAACCAGAAGGCGTCCACGACCCCATGACCTTTATCCAACACAACCAAGATCGCGGGAGCATCGCTACGGCCTCCAACTTCGTTAGGGAGAGGTTCTTCGACCATCTTACCACCATATCGTTTTCGTAGCTCGTTATGAAGGTATTTTTGTGCTTCTGATGATACGCGCTGCATCGACTCTTGGGGATTCTCGTCGCGCTCAACTTGACCTAGGTCAAACCAATTGGCCTGATCTTCCGTCATGTCACCCGGAATCTTGCCATCGACCCGACCATCCCAATCGGCCCACGACTGTTCCGTCCCGCCTTGTGCGGACTTAGGGATATTCTTGTCGCCTTCCAGCCAAGCTGGACGAGACTGCACATTATCATTGCTGGTCAAATAGACATGACGGGGCGTCCACTGGTTGAGCTGATCCAAGTCCTCCAGAGTGGGATGATCCCATTGGGCCTGAATGGGAGTGTAATTGAGCATGGGCGTGGTGTGGTACAGATGTTCTGCTATATCACCGGGCCAAAACTGCTCCCCGGAATAAAGGTGAACAAGTGGGGCGTAATCAAAAACATAGTCGGGGATCTCCCGCTTAGCCCGCTCCTCGGCATCCCACTCTGATTGATTAGCCCCGCCGAGCCAGAAAGACCGCCAGGGCTCGGCATCGTTAACCTCCGACCGCTCGACTGACTCACGATGGCCGAATGGGACGTGAGCTGTTTGGAAATGCGCTGCGCCGCAGATACTGAGCCAGCGACAGCTCTTGCGGTCGAACCAGGAGCGCGAGCTTGCGATCCAGCTCGCCTCCTCCCGGTCCTCAGCGTACCAGATGAAGGAGGCAGGTCTGATGGTGCGGGCTAGACTATTGAGGGAAACATAGATGATCAGGGTCGACAAGGCCACAATGGTTACCTGGGCCTTGCGAGTCATCAGCTCAGGGCAATCGAGGTAGATTGCCTGTGTGGACTGGTTGGCAGACTGCTCATGGAGGGACAGGTCAGGAAGAATCCCGGTCGACACGGAATCAATGCAGGGAACCGACGATAAGGCTGAGGGGCATGCCGGAGAATCTATGGGACGGGAAGCAACGAAAGAAAAGCAGCACAGCAGGATGGGAAGGCCTATAAATTTTAATCCATGTTAGTTTAACCGGGCTTTCCGATTCCTGCAAGACGGCCCCTCTTTTTTTTTTTCCCTCTCGTGAGCATGAAAGAAAAGAGAAAAAGGGATTTTTTAGAAAAAACCTTGCCAAAATAAGCACAGGAGTCTCGAACAAGTCAGCGCCTGCACCCGGGAACGTGCGGAAACGCCTAGGCGACCCAAGCCGGAACACGATCGCCATAGGTCCCGGTAAGGTCTGCATGACTTTGAACGGAAGACTCGGATACTTACAAACACATGATGTTCTCGACATTACCAGATGTACGCTGTAATTTCAAAGGGTCTGAATCTTTTTGGCCCAAGATCAATGAGGGGGTGAAGCATAAGGCTGAAACGCTGGGTCTATTTACGAAGCTGGCTTACACAAGGGTTCAATTGAGGGGCTAATGTAGATCATAGATCTTGCACCATCCTTGCCAATTAGACCATTTGGTTTGATTTGTAACCACAGTTCGGATTCCAATAACGGTTGACTTGTTATTTTCATTAGCTTGATTTCGCCAAAAATTGCCGCGCCGTAATTCCAAACAAACAAACCCGTATACAATTCGCCACCGCTAAAATCAATTCGAGCGGCACGACCTGAGCTCCACTGACCTGGATCGGGGCCAAGAGACGGTGGAAAACCCAAGTTCCCCCCTTTCACCGCTTTCATGTTGGCCCTTTTCCTTCACCGCTTCGAGATTCTGCTGACTCACTATCTTATCGCAAAACAGCTTGCATATTGCAAGCAGAAAATCCCTTGAATTCCCCCACATCATGGATTCGTCAATGGAGGTGGACTCGGATGAGTATGAATACGAGTATGATGATACAGAGACAGAGGTGAGAACTGACCTCTTTTTTTCTTTTCTTTTTGGGTCTGGGCTTCTCCGTTGTGATCGCAACTGACACCCCCCTCAAGAGCTTCTATCTAAACCTAGATCTTACCTCTGCCAATGGCCCAATCCGCCCTCCTCGAAGAAGAAATGAAGATTCACACGACATATCTGCTGCAGAGTATGAAGCTTATGATGGCCCTAATGACCCTCCCGACGGTGATGCCTTTGGACCTCTCGACACCACCGAAGCAGCCACGTTGCCCGGCGAGCGAATCCAGCTCCTCGGCCTCCACACGTGCAACCCGATTGTCTCCTACCACAACCAAATCTTCAGTTGCTCATGGGCCGACCAGATTGGGACTGAGCTAGTATTTACCCACCCAGATGCGGTTCCAGACACGGACTACCCACCCTTGCGCCAGGGTCCTGCCTTCGAGCTGCTCGCCGCCAATAGTGTCAAGATTCTGGGCCGCAAAGCGAACATCATCTCTAGCTCTGGCCCCGGATTGGTCCCTGATAATGTCGATACTCATAACTCTATTCCAACCGACACAGACCCATCCGGGACGTTGCCTGCAGACTCTGCGGGCGTGACCCTTCGACCCGAAACCTCGACGCATCAATCCAGCTTCATCCAGCGACTGCAAAATATGAAAGCCGCACAGGGCGAGTCGGATACTGTGCGCACGGTCTTGAGTACCCGGCGCAATGTGAACTTCTCCGACCGTCTGAACGCGTGGGCTCGCACCGAAGCCCAAGTGGCGGAAATTACCAGCTTGAACCAACGGGCTGCGGATGGAGACGAGGAGGCACTGGATATCCTGGAGATGATGATCCGCGACCTAGACGATGTCGATGACGCTCAAGATGCCTTCTGAGAGCCGAGCTATCACAGGCTGCCCGGATCGAATCAAGGCCGATGTCCTTATCGCTGATCCGGGCGATCAGAAACCCTTCACCTAAGCCGCGGGTCCTCGGCCCAGACACCTATGATTTCATTCAAGTCACGTGGAAGTGTCGGAGTTCTGAAATTTCCCATCCTGGAGTGAAGAAATGCCTGAAGGTTGTTGCCCATTGCAACCAAACCTCCTGTGCACATTGACAACCTACAGTGGATCCTTTGATATCACCCGTTCCACTTGATACAGTATGCCAGCACCGAGGGCCGATGCAGGTCCTTTCATCCATGGGACGGGTTGATCCCCTGATCCGATTACAAGGCGTTGCCCCACCCGGAGCTCGCATTTCACCCGATCATCAAAGAGACAGCAATTGCAACACAATAAGCTCATTCGGTCACGTCATATTAAACGTTCATCCCCGATGATGTGATGTGAGGCGGAACACAAAGAACACAGATCCGGATACCTGCTCTCGACCTAGTAAAGACTTACTGTACCACTGGATTTATACCCAGACCAACCTTATTTACCTCAACAAAACCTGCAGCCCTCAACCGATAGACTGGGATGATAGGCCTAATTTTTCCTGGGGGCCTTTGTGACGTCGTGATCGGCACCTGGTTCACATGGGCCAATTCTCCGGGTCTGACCGGTACCCACCTAACGAAATCAAATGCAAGATAGGTTCGTTGTGTCGGTGTGCAGAGGACCGGTGTACCGTGTACATCCTTTCGATTGGTATGGTTGAAAAGGACCTCGCTAGACTAGGCAATGTTCGTAGGGGGAATCCGGTGGATCTACGTACTTTTGTCAAGGTCCCCATCCACTATGCACAGAAGTAACTAGTCTGCAGCTAGTACGTCTTGTAAGCGAAATAAAATTGCACCTTCGCACACCTTTAATTACCACGTTCTGAGATCATAAAGATGTAATCCACAAGTGGAGCCTTTCATGAGAAAAACCTTGTGGCAGGCTTATCCGCTTACAATCCAATTCAAAACAAAAGCTATTCAAATAACAAGCTGTTATTATTTATGAGCTAAGCCGAGGGAATTCAAAACACCGAACCCCCCAAACTTTTCTGTAACCGAACCCACAAAAAGGAAAGACATAGCAAGAAAAACCGAGTCGATAAAAGCCTCCTAATTGGAGGAGACAGTGATTTCACGCCAACACGCTGATGCAAAACATGAAGTGAAAGCAATAGAAAAGAGCATCGCGATGTATCCAGGGGGGGGAAAGGAAATTAATAAGTTTGAAAGCACGATTCGATCCGACGGAGCCAGCTCTTGTTCCTTCATCCTCGTGTAACATTATCGAGTTGAACGGAACATCGGAATTCGTAGTCGTATGTAGTCGCAGACGCTCATAACCCGCTGAGCTCAAAAAGAGGTGGATGCCGATGACGAGATCCTCGTCACAGTGTTCGTACAGCGATAAAGCCATACAGCACACCGGACATCTGAGACGATTGTCTTATTTACTCAAGGCTGAGACTTGGGATTTTCTCACGCTTGATATTGGATGCTTTGCCATTGCTGTCGACCGCGAAGGAGATGGGCGAGGGAGGAGGAGCAGGAGGCATGCCGTCCTCCAGCTTTTTGGTGGACTTGTTGCCGGCCATGATGGATTTGGAGATGTCCTGAGAGAAGGACAACAGGGCATCAGAGGAGATAGGAGGGGCGAAGGAGATGGGGGTCGATTGAGAAGTAACGACGTAGGCCATTTTGATTGATTTGACGAAGATTGGGAGCGTTGGGACAATTGGAGATATAGTTGGTGTTGAAATGGAAGTAGAGAGTGGAGCTGGGGAGCTTAAATATCTTTTGTAGGTTTGCGATGTGATACCTCGGCAACGAAAAAGCTGAGGCGAATTGCTCTGAAGTTCGTTGAGATTCGGAAGTGAATCTCCAGGGATTCTCGGGCTACATAAATAATTCACTGTTAGCATTTGCGGATGAATCTATGGAGCGTGCTTTGTGGTTCTTCCGAGATGGCCCGAGGGATTTTTTTTTTCGGTGGATCGGAGCTGGGGGCGATATATATGATGTAACAAGCTTTAATGCCGAGAAAGACTCAACTCACATGAAATCACAATGTAACCACGATGCCTGAAAGCAAATCACTGAGAAAGTGAAATGGTGGGACTGAGCTGAGGTGATGAAAGAGCAAAGAAGGACCTAAGGTTGAGAGATTGAAAGGTCTGGGGAGATAAGAGACAATAAGCGGGCTAGACTGCGAGTGAATGGGAGTCGTACACGTTGTGTTGGCTGATAAGGGTCTGAGAGCAGAAGTGAAAGAGTCTGGATTGTGTCTTCGGACGGTAGTTATACTCCCTCCATCTCCCTTTTTTCTTCTTTTTCTCTAAAAAATCCAATTTACTAAACAAATCACCCTGTGGAGCAAAATGTGTGGAATCAGAAAGTACCTGGTACCAATCCAAAGCACTAAATAAAAAGATCGTCTAAGCCAAGCCCGATCGCCTCATTCTCATTGTAGAGCAGGGATGGGAAGCCTTTCCCGGAAGGGCGGGATACCCTCTCGTCCTCATCCCTCCGGGGAAAATTGAAGTGACGCGTTGCAAGTGTGGGGAAAGGGACCCATCCAAGACCCATTCAGGCCCCAGGGGCCAAGAAAAAGTCGATGGATCAGCTCTTCTCCGGGGGCTTTGGGCCACTAGTCTGGCTTCTAGGGGCTCCGGGGAACCGGGGCTAGAATGCCGCTTCCACAAGTTCCAATTTTTGTGAATTTGGGGCAATTAGGCTTAACGGTAGAATATTGGACCTTCTAGCAGGATTCTAATCAACCGGGGAAAAGCCGGCCTCGGCTCGCTGATCTTCCCGTCAACCACGCTGTCGGGGCGTACGTGAAAAGATGAAGGACTTGATGTACTTCAGTTGCAATGGGATACAGTGTCTTTGCATCGTACGATTCATAGGAGTTTCTTTGGAGCGTTTCATATGAAACAGGGGGGAACAAGTCTTACGCACACGGAGCATGAGGAATATCCCGTGTGTATGTGGAGAGAAGGGGCGGTTATAAGCCCAGGGGATATCCGGAAGAGCGGTGGAAGTCCGATTCATTCATTATCCGGCTGAATCGGGATTTCATTGTCTTGGAGCAGGTCAGATTCTAGGCTATGATCAACGTCCCAAGATTTTGCTTTCCCCAGATTCAAGGGGCGTTGCATAGTACACGCTACTATTTAAATCCCCTGCAATGCACTCTCCACCGA